GGTGGTCTATTTGTGGTAAAAATTTCATTTCGATCGGCCTTACCATCTTCGAGATCTAGAAATGGTCAAAAAAGAGGGGGGGGGGGAGGTACCCTTAAAGAATAACTGTCTTAATTAACTAATACAACGTGTTCGGAACTTGTAAGTAAACGATGAGGAAAATTTAGATAAAAAAAAGCTCGATCTGCTTTATTATTATGAATTATTTGCTCTTCAGGATATGGATGTGTAGTTTTGGATCACTGGATAGAAGAAGTTCATCCACGCTCACACTCTCGCCCTATCCACATCCATATCCACACCCACACCCAAAACTTAAAAGAACGCTCTGCCAGGCACTGCAATCTGACATGTTCTTGCAAATAAAAAAAACTAAATATATATATATATATATTGAATCCAATGAGAATTTTGGATTATCAAATGAGCTATTTTTGATTATTGTTTGATGAATATCTCCCTCGAATGCCATATGATGGAGCTTAATATTTTATCATGGCAATTTTACTACAGCTTCAATATGTTCTGAAAATTTCATACGATTTCAATGTACTCATTTATATGGAATATGTTTCATTAATAAAAACAGTTAGCACAAATGAACTCTCATCTTCTTTTATGTGTAATGATTTTACCTAAAAACAAACTTCAACATTATTTACTGCTTGTTTATTAAAATTTTTATTTTATTACAATTTAAACAACGAAAATATTTGCCGGTAAATCACTGCCTTTTTCAAATGTTGCCCATTTTTTTCGAGGTATTTTATTAAATACTTGTTCTAAACGTCGTTGACCAATGATATCATTTTTATATTTTCGAATAAAAATTTTTCCTATTCGATTAGGATATTTCATATAAATACTTGCATATATTTCAGGATCTTTTTGAAATATATCACCAATTAAAATAAATATACGATTTAATGTATTATTTAAAAACATATATATTATTTCTGTTTTAATCTTTATATAATTACTTGACATGAAAAATGAAATAAAATTTGCATCAAGCCATGTAAAATGACGCATATGAAATGAACCTAATGGAAATTTTTCACGATTGATAAATTCACGTAAAAATGGATAAAGTTGATCTGGTGATTCTGTTATATATGCAAATGTTGCATTATATCTTTTTTGCCAATATCGATATATATTTGACATGCCAACAACAGATGTATAAGTACCAGCGAAAGTATTCTTCAGTGTTACTGTTGCTGATGTAACACCCGTAACTTTTATTGTATCATCCATATCACTTAGAAATGTTATGCCATTATCATCACATAAATAAATTTCACCTACAAAAAAAAAACGATTCACATTTTGTTTTCTTTTGAGCAAATATTGACATAGAAATCAGAGATAGATTGTACCAACATAAAAGCTATGTTCAACTGAGAAATGAGAATTTCTAAGCTATCACGAAATTACTAAGAAGATATCAAAAGTAATGATTTTGGCAGACAAAATCCCATAGAAAAGAATTAATCAAGTCGTTGAACTACTAGTCATGCTTAATCAGATACAATCAATTTGTCGAAGCTATTTTTTCCAATAATCTCTGCTTAAACATATTCATAATCTTGGTTACAGCATTCTATCTAATGATTAGGAGTTGTTTGACTAAAGGCAAGTATAAAATAATTACAATACGTTCTGATGCAGGGTCGTTCAAACATCTTTATAAATATACAGTTGGATATTGTCATAATGACTTTTGATGCCTTGATCGTTAAACAATGACCTTTATCTTCTCATTCCATTAATAAGTAGTTTAAGAGAATCATTAATACAGTATTGATGATGAGATCTTTTCCTTCTTTTCATATCTGTGAGTTTTTTAAGGATTATTTGACTAATTGCTTTGAGAAAAGACAGAAAACATTGTTTTAAGGCTAAATTACTGTGCTAAATTGTAGCTAATAGAAATTGTTCGATTGGAGTTTTCTTCTAGCTTGAAGAATCTGATTCGATTTATGTGTAACATATCTAGAATTTGCCATCTACTATCATTTCATGTATTCACTGTATTTCTTTAGTCAGTCATATCCAACACAATTTGATTGATCAAAATAGTTGCTGTCACTGTTTGAAGTCTCGATATATAAATAAAGGAAAATGTTCCTCAAGTTATCTCGACGATATTATTACACTTATATCATTACTTTTGGTATATCCTAACTATCATCAAATTACGATAACAGTATTCAAATGGTTAATATTAATTGTTTATGTGATAAATCAAAATACACCAAAAACTGTGGAAATACTATGATACACTATTAATTAATATATATTACGTTCACGATAAAAATATATCTGTAGACTATACATACAAGTATACACGATTTCAGTCAACCAAAATTAAAATATCTCGATAGAAATTTTAATCCAGTTCAAAACCTTTTACACAACTACATTGAAACTGACCATGCTGACACAAGTAGTGACGTTTGCTTTCTTTCTTAAAGTAACACGAGGTAATCAAATCGATATTATCAAAATCCATTGTTTCGGTATAATACTTAGTTAAAACTGACGATATTGAACTTTTGGTTTCATTCTTTCATGTTGCTTTAATAAAGAAAACAAACACTATTGCTTGTGTCAGTATGGTCAAGATCTTCAATATCAACTCATTTCAAACTGATCGGTAGTCACTTGGTAGATTTCGAGGATTTCAGAAGAATACTTATAACTTGGCAATGGAACCGCCTACAGAGGCCTTGATTTTCTCTATTAAATGACTATCTTAAAAATCTAAATGTAATGCGATATTTTCTACGGTCATTAAGAATTGACTACTGCTTGTTTGTCTGCTTGCCTTTTACATAGATTGATAAAGTTATCTGTCCTATTTCTAATACTGAAAATCGCATATTGCTAGGTACTTTGATGCCTGAAATATTTGTGATTCAACAAAATCCATTAACTTATTAAATTGATAATAGTAATGATATAATATTTGAACAATTTCAAAGAAAAACGAAAACAATTTTGTTTATATAATTTGATTTCTAAATAATCTTACCTGTAGCTTGAATATTTTTGTTTAATACTGATAGACGATAAAGTATTTTAGCACCAGATTGAATTAATCGATCGATTTCATTTTTACTAATTCGAATTGTACTTTTAATTCTACCTTCGTCATCTGTACGTGTACAGATAGGTTTATTGAAATTATAAATACATACACTTTTATGTTCTTGTCCCTCAGCAGTAAATAATTTAATACGATTTATATTTACAGATTGTTGAACAACTTTTTCTAACATTTTTTCCATTATTTCTGCTTTTAGAAGGTCTTCTTTGTAATACCATCCTTGATTAGATGAAATCCAATTAGTTGAAGGTTTTATTGAATGATCTCGAAAAGCAACCGATGGTAAAAGAATTAAATCTTCTTTACCATCAAATATAAATCCATTAATTTTTGCTATGAAAATAAAAATAAAACAAACAAAAATATCAACCATGAATACTTATTATTGTGTACGATTAGTTGAAATCCCGTGCTGCATATATATATATATATACTAATAGATAAAGTACAAAAAAAAGAACAAAAAATAGAATCCTTTGTATAAAATGCACTTAATGAATAGCGTCTAAAACGCACTTATTCTTTATTTATGTGAGTACGTACTTTTTACGACGTTTGTCACTTCTACCATTAAATGAATCATTGAAGGCATCTATTTTCCTATCGTTTATGTAATAGCAATGAGTTATTGATTAATGATAAGTAGGCTTTTACACATGGATATAGCAAAGAATATTCTTTGTTCTTCGTTCGAACTTTTCTTTCATCGGGTATTATGATTCATGAAATAAATGAATTGTATCTACAAGACTTAATTTTTCGCTTATAAGATTGATAAAGATTATGAATATTTTATAGAAAAAATAGATTATCATTCGTGATCATATTTTGTAACAACACAATCAATAGACCATTATTGTCTGATTGATTAAAAGTTCAAGTAAAAAATTCATTGTTTTATTTTCGTTTCTTTTCATTTCATGTTGATATGTTCTGTTGCTTATCATAACCTATAAATTGATATCGATTTGCTATTCATACATGATTATAGTACTCTACTCGTTTTCTAACTAGACTAGAGTAAAATTTCTCCTAGATGAACATCATGAAAACTTTTGAAAAGTGTTCAGTATTGAAAGGTGTTCATCTATGTGAAATATGAAATATTTTACTAAGAAATGAAAAAAGCTTCAGTATATAAGCTTCTTTACTAGTTTTGAAATCATCAGAGACCATTTTCTGTGTTGTTTATCTTGCTTAATTTTAATATTTATGAAACTAAAAAATCTTCAATAGAATATAAAACATTGTTTTTTTTCATAAAGTTCTATATTTTATGGTTTTGATCTTGATTGTTTTTTATAATCATCAAAATAATTATTCGGATATTTGCAAAACTAGCGAACACCCCCAAAACAAGAGCTGATATTATCAGTAGATAGAGCTCGCCGAGTTGACTCCACGAACACCCAAACGGGTGAGCATTAGAAAAATTTTCCGATGCATACTGATTTTTTCAATCCACGAACACCCATATCTTTTGTCTGTGAGTAGATCTACTCGAGTTATAAACATACCCAATATATCAGACTCTTATCATTCTGATTAAAAAAAAATAGCACATATGAAAAAAGCAAATTTTTGGTAACTTTCGTGATTCATAGCTTTTGTTGAGGAAGAGATATAGGTCTGAAAGTTTTACTGTAGATAGAGCAATGAAAGATGTATATCCTCTCAAAATTTCAGTTATACAAGTTGTTTCGTTTGGTCATGGCAGTTCTCTCAAAAATGGGTTTTTGACACATTTTGGGGATTTTCAGGATAGGCTATCTCTCAAAATAGCAATCAATTTGGAAATTGATCTGTAGAAATTGGAAGTACTCTATTGAGTCTACAACCCAACAAAAATATAAGTGTGGTATTAGTTACAATGATTCCAGGAGGCTCATTGAAAAACATTAAAAAAATGAACCCTTTCCCATAGGAAGTATATCGACATTCGCTTAGTCATTTCTCGAAGGATCCAGTCCTTTGAGATAAAATCTACTTAGTAAAACTCAGCAAGTAATCTTCTATTGTCTTCCATAAAAATATCGTTTCAAAATGAGAAAGCAAATTTCTCGAAAAATCCCGTACCCTCCCCCTCTCCAGAGAAAAAAGTTTTATCTTAAGAGGCCAGGAGGGTGATACGGGAATTTTCGAGAAGTTTCTTTTTTGATTTTGATAGGATATTTTCATTGGAAGCAATAGAAGCTCTGTTGCTGATGTTTACTGCGTAGAATTTACTCCATAGGAGGAAACTCTCTGAAAAATTTCTAAGGGAATTTTGATACACTTCCTATGGGAAAGGGTTCATTTTTTTAATGTTTTTCAATAAGCCTTCTGGGATCATTGTAACAAATACCACGCTAATATTTTTGTTGGGTTGTAGACTCAATAGAGTACTTCCAATTTCTACAGATCAAGTTCCAAATTGATTGCTATTTGGAAAGATAGCCTATTCTGAAAACCCCCAAAATGTATCAAAAATCCATTTTGGAGAGAGAGCTGCCCTGATCAAACGGAACACCCACACTCCACACCCTTGATTTTAAATGATGAAAGAACCTTTCTGTTTTATTTCGAGTCTTTGTTGTCTAGATGCAATGAAGGTATTGAATTACAGATCAATGAGCTGTGATTTCAGACAAATGAATGCTGCATATAAATGAATAGATGACTAAGTAAGGTCATACTCGAAATTTCCTGCACCATGTAGTTGTGGTTCGAACCCGAAAAGTCATCGGCCTATTGTTTATCGCTCAGAAAATTATAATCCACATCCGATGCATAACCAGATGAAGGAGTAAAAATAGAGCATCTTTTAGATATGAGCTCCGTGGATTTATGGATTGAGTTGCGTCATTTTCAAACCAACCCATCGGTTCCTATAAGTGCGTCAAATAAATTAGAATAATAGATTTTATTTCAAATCCTTAGATTGTTGCTAACGTCCTGGCTATTGCCCTACTCAATCCTGTTTCATTATAATATTCTGTTTTTATTTTTTAGATGAAATAGGTATACTATCGAGTCCTCTGATGGCAGCATCTGATTATTAGCGTATAACACTTCAAAGCACTTGTGGTCATGGTTGAGCAGCACAGCACCTTGCAGATGATGTTATAGTATCACAAGCACAATTCATTATGGTACTACAAACGAGTGATATTTTAATATTGTTTCTATTTCTGTCATAAACTTCTATTATTTTTGAATACTCAACCGATTCAAGATCCTTTAAAATAGTCGAAAGTATTAGTAAAAAAAAATTTTTTTTTAATAATTTGGTCGAGCTTTTCATAGGCTGGAAACTCATATGCATAATATCTTCAATCTTCTTCTCTTTTATAGGAAAAAATATGATTTTTCAATGATTTACGAGCTTTTCACTAATGTTGTGTCTCTGTGGCTTCAAAGGTGTAGATTGCAGTAGACGTGACTAGACGCCAAGCTTTTTTAAAAATTGCCAGCCATTTACTACCACTAAACACATCATATGGAAGTTGAAGTGTGCGTGTAATTGTGATTCAAAGGAACACTTACACCGCACTATCACACCCTCTCAGTTTTGAATAGATGACTTAGTCCGACAAGTCATTCATAGCTATAATATTATTTGGTCTTTTTTTTTCTTAGTACTGAAGTTTTTTTTTGCATTGTATTTCATATTCAAGGGTTTATTATATGTAATAGATGTATATACATAGTAGTCAACTTCTAAATTACAGGCATATAGTCGAATAAAATTAGTGTTGTGTAGCTTAAGTTCGCAACTGAACACAAAAAACTGGTGCGAAATTTTTTCGGTGCACTGTAATAGTCAATACTTCTACTTTAATAGTAGATAATCTTTATACTATAAATAATTATGTGAGTAAATTTAATACTTTTAGGGTTGAAATGATAAATGTATAGGCCACGTCGTATCCCAACGAGCTCTCTACCCTCTATATATTTTATCATCATCTTTCATCAAATATAATTATGTGTATTGTATCAACTATTTTTATATGACAGGAATTCCATTGTGGTAGTGTCTAGAATACCTTTGGTTTTTTCTACTTTGTTCTTCAAATGCGTTAAAATATATGTTGCATTTTGACATGTTATTAGATAGTGTAACTCATGTGTGTTTCCATTCAATAACAGATTAATAATACTATTCATAGTATTACAATAAGATGTGATGTAAACGTCTACGTAACTCGAACTTTTAACTAATTGAACTACAGTAGTTTAATAGTAAAAGTTTTTATGATTTTATTTCAAGTTTAAATTAGCACAAAAAAAATTCAAATCACCAAACTTTAAAAGTATTATAAAGTTCTATTATTTTATTTACTGCTGCTAGTTTAGCATTTTTCAAACTGAGTCGCCCATTTTGATAATCAGTCACAAGTGCATTTTTAAGTTCATCAAAAAACATTGGACAGGCGGTTGTATTACTAACTAATTTTAATTGATTCTCAGGAGCATTTATATAAGCCAGAGTAGTAGCAAAATATTGTGTTGTTTCATTGTTTTTTTGTAATATTTCGTTGATCTTGATAAATGTAATATTAGCACGATCAGGATGTTGACTGAAATATAAACATGTTTTATTAATGACTCCAGCTAGCGGATCACTGGGAACTATCCATCCCCGTATTGTTGATATAATATTACTGACTATGGAAGGTGTAACTGTACCAATACAAGCAGAAAACTACAAACAAAAATATCCATGTTTTAAAGTATTTAGTAAATCAGTAAAAACTTACTACTAGTAGAAGAAAAATACCGGTAAGATTCATGGTGAAATTATTGAGTCGACTACTTGTTTTTCATGCATTTATATACCATCGATGTTGACTGTTGGAATAAATTACCGCCATCCTTTTTTTCTTTGTCAATAAGAAATTGTTTACGCTATGTAAGTTTTAAAGTGTATTGACGTACAGTTATGTACATAATATCGGCAAATTATTCCTTAGAATAAACTAAAAAAACAAAAATGCTCAGATCGGTAAAGCATCAAAAGAGCTTCTGCATGTCACGAACGACGAAAAATAACTTTTTCTTCTCTTCACTATAATTAATAATGTTTACTTACTTCTCTTTTGTATCAAAATGAATCTGAGAAAGAAAAGTGCAAATAACTAGTTTCTCGTATAAGAAGGAATAGAATTGATTTATTGTGAAATAAAGTACGGAAGCTAGAATACATCAAATGCAATAAATCTAACGATTATTTTAAAGAGAAAATTTAGTCATTGGAATAGTATCTAGAGCGAAAATACCAATTTAATATTCGATAGGTTTTTTTTTTTCAAATAAAAATACTTCCTGATTCGTCAAAATATTGAATTTCACGGTAAAAAAACATTATGACATTTTCAATAAAGCATATGATTTTTTTTTACATGTCGTAAAAAAAAAAATACGATCAATTGAACCAATAGGATTATTCTCAGTTGATAAATAGCAAAGCAAAGACGAAGCTTGTTTCAACTTTTTGATAAATAACTATATGAGATATTTAGAAAGTGATATATTATGTCATTGATTCCATATAGACACCAATCGATTATCTATAATCATAATTACAATAAGAATATAAATTCTACCTGTTCAATATCATACCACATACTATTAAAATTTTTTTTTTTTTTTTGAAAATATTTTTCAATTAATCTCCTATATTGATATATTATCGAACTTTATCATGATTAATCCATCAAAGAAAAAAAAAAAAACTACATTTAAATAATCAAAAGTATAACTTTAAATATGTCCTTGTTTCATTCCTATTACGATAAAAAAATCGTTGAAATGTAAATTAAAACCATTTGTTTATCTTATTCTGCTTTACATTTAAACAATGTCTGATATATCGGTTATATATACTGACAATATACACATTGAGTATTATTGAAATTAATTAAAAAAGACATATCTCGTAAAAAAAAAAAAAAAGAATTTTAAAAATAATGATCCATGAGAATATTCAATTAGTTATATTTCTTATGATTTTATATATCAATCAATATGATTGTTCAATACATGCTGTTTCATCTGCACTCATTTATGGACAAGAACCATTGGTAAGAGTTAATATTTTAAAAGAGAAAAAGACAACAATGATTATAAACTGAATTTTCTAGTCATATTATTCATTAGAAAAAAGTAATATTGTTCGTCGATCAGCTAGTAATACTAAATGTAAGTAAAAAATAAAAAGAGAGATATTCTATTAATGTTATTTTAAATTAATATTTATTTAGGCGGAAAAGATTTGACTTGTTTAAATAGTGGTAAATGTAAAGATCATCAATGTCAATGTTCTGAACATTTTATGGGTCATGATTGTAGCATAGGTATGTTAATTTCGATGTAATTCATTTAATTTTTATGGATGTATATTATTGTTTGTAGCACGATGTGGCCATACTTGGTGTTCTCAAACAGGAGGAAAATGTAAACATAAAAAACATTGTCAATGTTTAACTCGATCTGGTGGTCCTGATTGTAGTGGTGGTATGTTATAACAATAAATCAAAATCATAATTATATTGTTGTTCTTATTTTTATTCTTTACAGTCAAATGTAGTAAAGGAGCATCAGCTAGTTTAATTTGTTTCAATGGTGCTACTTGTAATAATGAATCGGATACATGCAATTGTCGATCTGGTTATCAAGATGGTGGAACGGGTTGTTTAACAAGTTAATTATAGATAAAATCTTATTTATATATATATAAATGTATGCATATTAATTTGTAGAAGTATGTTCGAATGATGATTTATGTTATACGAATAATGGTATTTGTACTGCGAGTGGATGTAAATGTCGATCACATTTGATAAATGGTTCTGATTGTTCTCGAAGTAATTTTCTGTTTTAATGAACAAAAGAAAATATTTCTAGAATATTTTTTATTATTAAGGAACTTGTGGAAAATCAGGTTTAATCTGTCATAATGGAGGTCATTGTGTTGATGAAAAGCATTGTCAATGTTTATATGGATGGACTGGTATTACTTGTAATGGTCGTAAGACATAAAGGAATAAATTTAATGGAAACATCTGTTTTGTTTTTGTTTATTTATTTGAGGAAAATGTCCTGGATTTACAGACCTTATTTGTTATTCAGCAACATGTCCTGATAGGGGTAGTGCACCAGTATGTCAATGTCCAGGACATGCTAAAGGAAAAGATTGTTCTGGAAGTAAATAAATTAACTATGAATTATTTTAATTTAAATAAAATTATTATTTTATTTTATATAGTTACTTGTGGAAATAAAGGATTGGCTTGTTATAATGGTGGTACTTGTAATGAAACAACATCAACATGTTCCTGTTTAATTGGATATGGTGGACCTGATTGTAGAGCTGGTATAATACATATAGGATGTATGTAATTAATTGTATATGTTTTATTTTTTTCATAGTACAATGTGCACGATATCCAAATTTGTTTTGTTATAATGGTGGTTGTCCATCTGTAGGACATGATAGTGAAGCGCAATGCATTTGTTCGGATCCATATACAGGTACTGATTGTTCACAAGTAATGTGTAGTCATCGTGCAGCTACATGTTACAATGGTGGTGAATGTTTTGATGGTCAATCTTGTACTTGTCCACCTGGTTATGGAGGAATTAATTGCCGTGGACGTAAGTAGATTTTATCTGAAAAACAAAAAATAGTTATATACATATATCTGTATGAATATTTGTTTGTTTTCTTTTAGTTCCATGTGGATCTGGATTTTGTTATAATGGGGGAGAATGTATAATCGATGAAAAGACTGGAGAAATGAAATGTCTTTGTATAGGCAATTATACACTTGCAGATTGTTCAGGAGAAAAATGTTCTGAAAATGGACCTATTTGTTATAATGATGCTATTTGTGAAAAAGATAAAAATGATAATTATACATGTCAATGTACTGGACAATGGGCAGGTGCTGATTGTTCAGCAAGTATGATTTATTTTTCTTACTATAGATTAGAAGTGTTTGATTAATGTAAATAAATATAGCACCATGTCAACATGCGTTATGTTATAATGGTGGATATTGTGATGATGATGGAAAAGGAAAAGATGGTTGTGTATGTGTAAATGGTTGGCAAGGGGTTGATTGTCGAGCAAGTAAGAATAGTAAATTACATTGATTTTAATATTTGAATATTGATCCATGTAGGATCATGTGGACCTCATGGACCTATTTGTCATAATGATGGATCGTGTATATCAACTTCAAATTCAACTTTTATTTGCCAATGTAAACATCCATGGTCTGGTTCAACATGTGAAGAACGTTAGTTAAATTATATTTATAATTAATATTATTCTTTTGTTTTTTTTTTCGTTTTATGGATTCTATTTAAATAGAAATATGTGGTACTGGTGGATTAACTTGTTTGAATAGTGGCGTTTGTTTATTGACTACTATTGATCATTTGTCACCGACATGTATATGTTCATCGGGTTTTGCTGGTGATGATTGTTCAGCTGTTATATGTGGTTCCGAAGGTAATGCTTGTTTCAATGGTGGTCGATGTAATGAAACGACTGGAATATGTATTTGTCCTCCACCACTTACTAGTGATGATTGTCGTGGCAGTTAGTATAATATTTCAAAAGTAAGATATATTAATTTTTATTTTATAGATATTTGTGGTGCTGGTACAGCTAATAGTATTGTCTGCCAAAATGATGGTATTTGTGTAGAAAATTCTGAAGGTGAATGGACATGTAATTGTACACATGGATGGACAGGTCCATATTGTATGTTACATATGTGTGGGGAAGATTCTGCAACAAATTTAGTATGTGCACATGAAGGAACTTGTGTACATTCACCAATAACTGGTGATTATACATGTTCATGTCAACCTCAATGGACAGGAATTGATTGTTCAGCTATGCGATGTTCAGAACCAGATATTGCATGTTATAATCAAGTTGATTATAATCCAAACGTATGCACACCGAAAGGATGTGACTGTCTCAATGATGGTTATGGAGCTGATTGTAGAGGCGTTCGATGTGGTCTAGAACCAGGTCGATGTTATAATGGTGCTGTATGTATTGATGGATTGCGAGGTATTTGTTCATTTTGTCCAGCTGGAATTAATGGTAGTGATTGTTCGATGAGTATAATAGATTCTTTTTTCTCGTCTTCTTTCTTAACATATATAATTATAGTGATATGTCCTGGTGTCAAAAGTGGTTACTGTTTTAATGGTGGCATTTGTATTGGTGGAACAACGTGCTTATGTGGTCTTCGAAGTGAATGGTCAGGTGTTGATTGTTCTGAAAGTAAGTGTTTAATAAAAAAAAAAATTATTTTTATTATTATATTTTATAGAACGATGTTCGGGCAATTATAGATGCTTGAATGGTGGTTCGTGTAGTAATAATGTTGCAAAACGTGAATGTATATGTCCACCGACATTCGAAGGACCTCAATGTGAAAATTCAATAAAGAACTAATTATCCAATGAATACTAGTAAAACAACAACTAATCATGTCTAAATAAACAAGACAGAATTAATTTTGTATGACACTTTTTGGAGACTTGTTAAATAATATAAATAATAAATAATCACACATCAATAGAAACAATGTTTCAATCAATAGTAATTGTCTATTTACTAACATATTAAGTTGTATGCTCAGCGGAATATTATTAAAATCATATACAACTAATAAAGGCAACTCGAACAGAGATCCACACTCTTGTTTACATATTTCAATACGTCTCTAGCTTTTGTTTTGCTCCATGAGAATATTTTGAAAGTGAAAAGAACGCTTCTTCAGTGTTCTTGTAAGTCACCTCGAACGGCGACCGATCACTTCGTCGCGTTCTGTTCATCCCATTCCTCTTAATTAATTCTTTTTGTTTTTTATATAACCAATCGAAATAAAATAAAATAAATTAAAAATTCTAAAAGATGTGTACTGTAACAATAGACGATTGACTGTTCTAAGACATATGACTTTAATTGGAAAAACGGATCAATAAAAAATATTAATGAAATATGATTTTGATAGAGCTAAAGTGAACGAAGAATAATTAGATTTGTCGCTCAGTTAATAAATTTCAACACAATCTAGATCAACGACAATACTGATCCAATGTTCTTAATTATACGACCAGGATAAATAAAAATATACATTGATGAGGTTAAAAATATCGTTGTTGTACGTTCTATAGTGTAGATGTAACTTTCATAGAGAAGCATTGTTTTCCTTTTACAGAAAGAAGTTTTTCAATTTGAGACAATTTGTTTGAAGAGTAGTGTGCAATGAACGTTGAGATTGAGAAATGAAATATATTTTTTTAACCTCATCAATCCATATTTTTGTTTATCCTGGTCGGATAATTAAGAACATTGGATCAGTGTTATCATTAGTCCAGATTATGTTGAAACTCATTAAGCGAGTGACAACTTTAGCTCTATCAGAATCATGTTTCATTAATATTTTTTATTGTTCCGTTTTTCCAATTAAAGTCATATGTCTTAGAACAGTCAATTGTCTATTGTTCCTGTACACATCTTTTAGAATTTTTAATTTAATTTATTTTATTTCGATTGGTTATATAAAAAACAAAAAGAATTAATTAAGAGGGATGGGATGAACAGAACGCGACGAAATGTATTAGTGCTCTTCGAACCATACATATAGAACGGATCTATTTAAACAGATCAGTTTCTCGATCGCAAATTGTTACAAGTCTAGTTGCCAAAAAGTAATTTGATAAAATATTCGTTCGTTTTTCACCTTCTGCAGAAATTTGAAAACACTGAGCTTGAATCAAAGTTTCGTATTCTTTCTCAACACAGATTCAACATGTCTCTAAGACTTCTGATGTAGGAGTTACAATTCGACTTTGTTGTAGTGTAAAAATTAAGTTGCGACGGTGAAAATTTACACTTTTACCTGCAATAGTCTCGTTTACGGTATACATTGTATTACCATTTTTTTTGTATAAAATAACAGACGAGACTGTTAACTGCAAAATGATATAAGAACCAATAGTTTCAAAAAAATTATATACAAAAATAGTTACTGTTAACGAATGAATAAAAGCAAACTAATCATTAGTATACTTTCGAAATTTTTTTTTGATGGATTTGCAGCAAAAATTCATAGCACAGATGTTAAAAGCTCTTCCTAGATATAAAATAATACCTATTCTGAACAATTCTAAAAATTTGGAATCACTTAACATTTAATGGGAAATGCGTAGTATACAAGAAACAAATATATATAAAAAGAATTTTGTTCCGAAATATACTATCATTGAGTTTCTACGATTTTTTTAAAGCTTTGTATATGAATAGGGAAATTTTATTACTCTAAGACCAACACATTCGGTGGATTTTCCTCGAGATTTGTAAGAAGTTATTATAATTTCATCTTCAATTCGATCTTCTCGATTTTTTATTTCTAAAGATGGTACTGAGGTTTGTGTTTCCAGTTACATCAATCATAATCTATTTTAGTAATCATCTCTCAATTTTAACTTTTCTCATCAAAACCGAACCAAAAAACATACTAAAGCTAGTTCAGATTGGAATTTATGTCCATCTGATGCTCATTACAAGTACGCAACTGAAATTCTCAATCTTTCCATTGATCTTATTGCTTCAAAGCATATTAATTCATCAAAATCGATCAACATTATTGTCTGTTTTCTGTAAAAACATTTTCCTTTCTAAAAAAAAAGGAATTTTTAGAAAACAGAGACGGACTGAGATGCAATTGAAAAGTATAAAATTATTTTTACGATATCTCTATTTCTTCACATATCATTCTGTTTATAAGTATTTAGTAAAAGTAAGCCATATACAGTTCGAAAAAGAAAGAAGTTTTCTATTGATTACTAAATAATTTTCTTTCGAAAACCGTGTCTATGAAAATAAATAAAGAGTAAAATTTTCTACGCTTAATCTATTAGACAAAATTCAATCTTTCAAAAAACTCTTATGTTATTTTATAATTTTCATAATTTTATTTCATTAAAGAAAATACATTTATTTAAATATATATGTATGTATTATTTATTCAAAATTCATAATGAAAAGAAAATAATCTTTATTTTTTTCTTGATTACAATAGAAAGAAAAATATATTGTTACAAAACAAACACAATAAAAACAAAAATTTCTGAATATTCATTTGTGACAATATTCATCATATTTAAAAGTATATTTTACCACAACAAAAGAAAAATAATGTTTATTATTTTAAATCAAATCATTTTAGATAAAAAATATACGAATGATTATGAAAAATAATAATAAAACCGGACTAAATCGTATTTGATCAATACCTACAATATAAATAATTTCATCAAAATAAACATTACATTGAAAATAATATTTTACCATTAACACAGATTTGTATTGGTTGATTATCTACATCATATGTTGTTTGCATGTGTAATCCATTAAGGCATTGACATTTGTTCTCTAAGCATGCCATATTCAAGCCACATTCGTCATCATTTTGACATACAGAACCAGCTTCTCGAACTATATAAATCATAAAATTAATAGAAACAAAAAAATAATGAAGATAAAACAATGATATTTACCACATCTATTATTTACTAAATAATATGATGGTTGACACAAACATTTATTTTCATCTCTATTACATATTGAATTTATATCGATATATTGACAAATATTTTCTTTATATACACATCTTTCATTTTCCAATTGAGATCGAACTGAAAAAGACAAAAAAAAAAAAAAAAGTTTAGTTTATTAAATGAAATGGGCAAAAATCAGTGAAAATAATTTTCGATTGTTTGTTTTTGAATAAATTCTTTTTTCATGAATATATGCAAAAAATAGTTGTTCTTTAAGTATACATCCAATTAAACTTAATTAAGTATAACACAATCATTGAAGAACATCAAAAAATAGACTCCATGTTATAGGTTTTACACCTATGATGAAATTTTCCATCAAAATCAGAGTTTGAAAAATTTTCTGTCTTAGTCTTAAAACGAGACTTCTTATTTGTTTATTATCTCGCAATTCCCAAAAAGGATTCATACTATTTAATATGGTTTTTTTTTTTTTGTTGGACTTCTCAGACAATTACAAACGGATTTTTCAAGTTATCCAGAGTAACTTAACTAAAAGAAATGTCTCAATCTAGAGAAATAAATATTTTTGTTTTTTGCGAAATCATGTCGTTAATGAATGAAATAACTTTACCACACTGAGATTGTTCAGGTCGATAACCAAGTTGACATCGACCACGATCACATGTTGCATCACATTGAAGTGAATTATTAGAAGTAGCAAGAACATATTGCCAAAGAGCTGATTGATTACATGGTTGATTTAGTTGAAGTTGGTATGGAATTCTAACTGAAAGATATAAAAAGAAATAAACTATCGAATAAATAAATATATATATATAATCACTTACCACATGTAGAACCACTTGGATAATATCCATTTCTACATACACATTCATAACCACGACATTCAAAATTAAGATTCGTTTGACAATTTGTTGGACATCGGCTTGCAGCTAGATACAAATTAATTTTTATATTAGAATAATCTTCAAAAAAAAAAATTTATTTACTGCATGTTTGTGTTCTGGGATCTAATAATGTTCCATCTTTACATTTGCATACTTTATATTGAGAATCATCAGTTAAATAATCACATACAACATTTAATCCGCCATTACAATCTGCTTCTGTATTACAAGAATAAGAATGACGTTCATGTATACCGGGAAACATATATTTTGAAAATGGTTCTAAATAAAATTTTATATATAAAGAATAAAATATCATTAGCATCAATTGTTTACAACAGCAAATATAATGTAGAAAGGTACATTATTAGAAAAATAATTTTAAGTATTAATCATAGATGAGTAGTTTAAACAGACTCTATTTCCTTTAAAGTACATAAAATTCAAAAACAAAAGTTGAAAAAATCAACTCCTATTTCTCATTCATAGTACATTCGATCAAACTGAAACGTTTTTCTAATTATACTAGAGAGTACAGTGTCTAATATGTATAAAAACAATTTCAACTCTCTTAAACGTATTGCAGATGAGAAAATGAAATAATTTCAGTAGTTACATTTGACTTTTGTGACTGTAATATCTGCTAGAAGAAAGCATTTGAGAATTTTGAGTCTATATGACAACATTTGCTCTAATCATTGAGATCTCTCCGTCCTGAAAATTTTCTGATGAAATTTTCTCCAAAAGTATTGGAAACAGATAAATGTCAGTCCTCTTAAGAGTAGTTCATCATTATGTAAGTGCTAAGTTAGATCAAAGGATTTATTAAAAAGTATTTTTAATGAGAAGAAATTTTCATTGTAAAAACATGCTTTATAATTTTGAAAACTTACCACATTGACCCAATGAATTAATAAAACTGATGCGACGATTACAAAAACATTCTTCATTTTGACAAAAAGCATATTGTCCATATTTAACAGTACAGTCATCATTTGTGAAAGTGGTACAATTCGTTGTTTGAGATGAACTAACATTAGCAGTACCAACCAGAGCAATATTTGCTGTTACTATAAAAAAACAAAATACACAAAAGTATATGGCTATTTAAATAGTTAGTATTTATTTACTGCATGTTTTATTATCAGATGACACATGATAACCTGGATTACATACACACGCTGATGGCAAGCTCTATTTGAACATATTAATATCTTATATATATATATGTATGAAGAATGATTAAAATTCATACCGGAGGAGAAACAAACGAATTGGCTGGACAATCGTTAATACGTTTAATACCGCNAATGTACAACGATATGGTCTAAGATTATATAATCCTTCAAGAAATGTTGATGATACATATTATTCATCAATACTTCCTGAATCAAATAATCAACCAGCTATAGTTGGAATTCCATTAGCTAAAGTTGCTATTCGTTTGTATTTGAATATATATACAACAAGTGATGGTAAACCACCGAGTAATATTAAAATAATGATTGTAAGTTATTCATGTTAAGAACGAAAAAGAAATTTGATATAGATAATTTGATTAAAAAAATATAGAATGCTTGTTTTGATTCATCATCAATAAATAGTGTAAGTAGTCCAATGATAGGTGGTCAATATTATCGTAGTCCAAGTATTTCACAAATTCCAATAGTATCACAACAACAACCCTACGTAAGTGATTTATTTACTTTTTAAAAATTTATATCAATTGATGAATTATTTTTTTCTAAAATAGTATGAAAGTCCTGTTGCTCCAGATATGTCCGTGCCAACGATGAATGTCGAACAATCAAGTAACATCGTTGGAACTGTAAATGTTTTAGTAAGTTGAATACATATGTTGCCGTTCTTCATTGAAATGCGCATTTGAAGGTTGATAGCATGCCGTCGAACTCTGCTCCTCTTGAAACTAGTGATGGCAGAGGTATTTATTCTGGTCTTCAAGTACCATACGTAAGGACACTATCTATCATCATTGTTACTTGTAGTCTTTTTTTTTTCTGAAGGATACAAATGCTGGTTCGGTAGCAGTTGATTCTTCTGGCAATGGTCTTAAGGTTAGTTTTTAATCTAAGATTTTTCCATTCCTATGCATTTTTTTTAGAACATTCCCTATGATAGGTCGATGGATATGCAAGAACCATCACCATCACTGACTGGTACTGTTGATTTTAATGTAAGACATCCAAATTAATATCTTCCTGTATAGTATTGAATAATATGTCTGTTTTTTTATTTATAGGTTAATATCGACGTTCCAGCAATGCCATCATCCGACAGTTACTCTTCAGTGAGTTAGCATTGTTGTCTCTTAATATAACGAATTTTAGTAACTTTTCGTTTGTGTTATAGACGGCTCTTGAACAACCTCGTACACCTGTCATTTCGTATTATTCAAGTTTAGTATTATCCGTAAGTCTGGCATTTCATTCATGATAAAAGATGAGAATTGCAAACATTGAGATACATGCTCTATTCTTTGTTTACTCATACTTACATTTTCTAGTTGTCAGCAGAGTAAAGAAAGACTTTTGATTTCAAACGAAGTAGTAATAGGTCTTTACACCATCTATTTTCTATCCGATATGTAGCATATAGTAAGCAATATTTATGAATGAATTTCGTATTTGTTTTTATAGTCACCATCATCTGCATTCAATAATTTACCATCAATGACGCCATCACAAGTTCCAGCAAATTACTTTTGTTATAATAATCTTCAAATCGTTGGTAACATTAATGTTCAAAATATATTTCCGCTCGATAGTCTACAACAAACATCTATCTCTGACATTATTAACTCACAATCACAATCATCAGTAAATATTCTCTATAATCTTTCATTAATCAAACAATCTTTTCCTTTTTTTTATTATAGGGTTATTCATTTTCATCATTTCATTATCCCTATCATACGATAGTCATCAACTTAAAAGTTAATATCTATGTTCATACACTTACACTTGGATCACAATCCAATGTACAACGATATAGTTTAAGATTATATAATCCTTCAAGAAATGTTGATGATACATATTATTCATCAATACTTCCTGAATCAAATAATCAATCAGCTATAGTTGGAATTCCATTAGCTAAAGTTGCTATTCGTTTGTATTTGAATATATATACAACAAATGATGGTAAACCACCAAGTAATATTAAAATAATGATTGTAAGTTATTTATGTTAAGAAAGAAAAAGAAATGTAATGCAGATACTTTGATTAAATAAATATAGAATGCTTGTTTTGATTCATCATCAATAAATAGTGGAAGTAGTCCAATGATAGGTGGTCAATATTATCGTAGTCCAAGTATTTCACAAATTCCAACAGGATTACAACAACAAACCTACGTAAGCAATCAATTTGATAATTTTCACGTAGTAACAATTCGTGAATTATTGTTTTCGATAGATTGAAAGTTATAGTGCTCCAGCAATATCAATGCCAACTGTTCCATCGGAAAATATTGTTCGAACTGTAGATATTTTAGTGAGTTTGATACATTTACTTTTTATTCTTCAGTAATAATTCATATACTTGAAGATTGATAATGTGGCCTCGAGTTCTGGTCCTCTTGAAGGAAGTCTCTATTCAAATGTTCGTACACCATATGTAAGTGATGCGATATGCGATCGTAGTTGTCGTTGTTAATAGTATTTCTTTTGTATTTGGAAGGATTTAAGCAGTAGTTCATCTTCACAAAATAATAATGTTCCGGAGTCGATAATTGCAACTGATCCTATTGACAGCGGTCGCATACGATCGGAACCATTCATTGCAAATATTGATGTTAATGTAAGCTAAATAAAATATGATATGAAGTTCAACGAACAACAAAACATGTATCGAATTCGAATGCATTTTAATATTAAGGTTGACATTGGCGAATCATCGGTTCCATCAGTTCAAATGCAACATCCCGTATATGAATCATGTTTGTTTTGTTTTTGATGTCATTGATTTATTTTATAGGATTTTCCTCAACAAATTCTCACTTCTGCTATTTCAAATTATCATAGTCCGATGGTTGAGGTAAATACGGATGAATCAAAGTGTGTCAATTACAAAGTTGTGAATTTCTGTCTAAGACTAAAGTAGTTAATCTAAATATTTCTTATCTAGTCTCATTAGGAAATACACAGTCTATTGTATGAATAATTACTTCGTAGGACATTTGCTGTTGAAGTATAAATTGGAAAAGTATATAATTCTAAAAAAAATAAACATCGGCATTTATATTTATTCGTGTTAAAATATTACACGAATCTGTTTGACTTGATTCTGATTTTTGTCCGTAATTATTTTACAATTTGCTTCACATCATGAATTACCAGCCTGATTTTCGGGTTTACTAACAGGTTAAATATATTCGTAGTTTAATTTTACATATGATTGTTTGGAATAGTAAATGAATTAGTTTATAATGATGATCAGTTCCAGAGAGGAAATTTAATTATTGTATAATTGTATTTCGTTATTTTATTCGAAATGCTTGTGAATATCCACACAGCAAGCAACTTTTTTAGAGCTGGTACTACTATATACTTCACTTTTAAACGAGAAAACCAGTGTAAACTACAATTTGAGAAATATGCCTTAACAAAATATAATCCATATTTTGATTTTGATGACAAATGCGCTGAGAGTTATACTTTGAAAATCTTATAGTCAATTTATAAATTGAAAGAAAACTTTAAAATGAATAATTGACCGTGGATCATAGCGATATTTGTTTTCTTTTTCTTAATAATAAGACAGTCTTCATACTGAAGTTTGATTTTTTTTCTAGTCACCGTCACTTGTACTTAATAATTTACCATTAATGATGACATCACAAGTTCCAGCAAACTACTTTTGTTATAATAATCTTCAAATCGTTGGAAATATCAATGTTCAAAATATATTTCATTTGGACGCTTCACAACAAACACATATCTCTGACATTATTAACTCACAATCACAATCATCAGTAAATATTCTCTATAATCTTTCATTCATCAAACAATCTTTTTCTTTTTTTTTATTATAGGGTTATTCATTTTCATCATTTCATTATCCCTATCATACGATAGTCATCAACTTAAGAGTTAATATCTATGTTCATTCACTTACACTTGGATCACAATCCAATGTACAACGATATGGTTTAAGATTATATAATCCTTTAAGAAATGTTGATGATACATATTATTCATCAATACTTCCTGAATCAAATAATCAATCAGCTATAGTTGGAATTCCATTAGCTAAAGTTGCTATTCGTTTGTATTTGAATATATATACAACAAATGATGGTAAACCACCAAGTAATATTAAAATAATGATTGTAAGTTATTCATGTTAAGAAAGAAAAAGAAATTTTATATAGATACTTTGATTAAAAAAAATATAGAATGCTTGTTTTGATTCATCATCAATAAATAGTGGAAGTAGTCCAATGATAGGTGGTCAATATTATCGTAGTCCAAGTATTTCACAAATTCCAACAGTATCACAACAACAACCCTACGTAAGGGATTTATTGACTTTTTAAAAATTTATATCAATTGATGGATTATTTTTTTCTAAAATAGTATGAAAGTCCTGTTGCTCCAGATATGTTCGTGCCAACGATGAATGTCGAACAATCAAGTAACATCGTTGGAACTGTGGATGTTTCAGTGAGTTTGACATCTATGAAGGTTTAACGAGAATGACGGTGTATAGTCACTTTCTCACTAATGAAAAATTATTTATCTAGTGCTCAACAAAATACACATAGCAAGTTTTGAAATTTCGATATGTGAAATTCTCGTGTGGACTTTGCATTTATGCGATAGACTGTCATGTGAAAATGTTCATTTAGAACCTAATAGTTATATCATTGAGTTTTGTACCTTGTAGAATTATCAGTAGTCGATGTATCTATTATGACGTCCGAAAATCATATAATAGGTAGTCTTCCTTCATCGCTGTTAATTCTAACAAATACACCTAAGAATGGTTTTATATGATATTTGCCTGTTTAAAAAAATTCTCGACATGATTTTTGTTCTAGATTATTGATTCAAGTGCATCAACTAGTAATCGAATACCATCACCACCACTGATAGGAACCATTGATATAAGTGTAAGTTATATTCAATGATATTGAGTTATTTATTTAGAAAAATACTATTTATTGTTTTTCGGTTTATTTTAGATGGTGAGTTATATGGGAATCAATTAGAGAAGTTTTTTTCTCTTATAGTAGCATATATACAATTGAACTGTTTGCAATTATTCTTATTATAGGAAACTATTGGTCGACAACCTGGCTCATTTGGATCGGTATGTTAATTGATAAATTATTCGTCATCATAATGATTAATATGAAATATAGAAAATAATGAAGATTTTATTTATTAATATTGTTTAATTTTATATAGATGCCATCACCAAACAAACCAGTACCATTTTCTCGTACACCTGGTCAATGTTTTGATCAAATTCTTATTATCGGTGGTTCACATATAACTATGATTCGATCACGCAATCCTACACATCAAATTGTTGGTCCGGAGATTAATTTTGGTGGTACTGGTTATACATTTTCATCGCCAAGTGATACTTACGAATTTGAAGTACATTTTGCTCAACCATTCACAATGAAATATATATTTATACCATATTCGGCTAATGTAGAAAGCTTTAAAGTAGAAGCTTCACATGCTGGAATGTTAGGTGTATTTACTTCTACCACTACTAAAGATGGTGTAGTTGTAGATGGTTTTCCAACAATACTAGTATCTATGTTAGTAATTACTATTATTCATACTACCGATGGATACTTACCAAGTCATATTACACTCAGCATTGTAAGTGAAATCATATGTTTAGATTAATAATATCACTGAATTTGATTTTCATAGGGTGTGTGTAATCCAATTTATTCGCCATCGAATGTAAGTATAATGCAATAGAGATCAAAACAGGGAGGATTCTTAGCTTGTTATCTTGGGAAAGTATTCAGTTGTTCAGCTGAACTGTTTTTTTTTTTAATAATGAACCACAGTTCATTAATTTTAGTGTATGAGAAAACAAAATGAATATTTTCTTAAAGCAAACATACTTTGTTAAACTCTATAAAACACTAAGCATTTCAATTAGATCTTGGCAGAATCTGTTTTACCGAATTTCGATACTTTTGAACCGTCAGAATTGAGCAAAATGTGAGTCCTCGGATTGTTTCGGATGTGGTTCGGTTCGACTGATTTTTCAAAAATGTTTGATAGGAACAGAGCATTAGATTCTTCATAATGGAAACATATTAGGCAAAAAAGTAAAACATAAATTTTATGATTCAAATATTTCATTCACTTCTAAATGAGATACAATATGATGTCTATATGAAATATTTTACAGATACTTTTATAATTCATTTATTGTCAGAAATTTGTAGTAAGCATCTGGAAATCGATATGTGTTTGACTTTTCTCTAACAGCCTATTCTGTATGCGATAATTAGAAGTGAAGATATGAAGTCGTCCCATAAGCAACCGTTGCCTAGTGGTAACGTTAGTTTTACAAGTTAATAATATGTAAAAGTTGTATCTAACGGGAGTAAAGAGCAAACATTTTTTATCGATGGCAACTGATTTTTTTTCTGACTATCATAACCGTCGTCGTGTCATTTGACTTACAGAATGATAAAGAAAAAATTAAATGACATATTGTGAACCTCGCGTCCCCACGGATCGTGACAGTCGAAGATCTGTAGACCGTCACAGACACATTAAAAATAGCACATCACTGATTGTGATACATACTTTAGGATCGTAAGCCGATAACGTCTAGTTATAATATATGAACTATTTATTTGTTGCATTTTTAGAAAATTTAGTAAAAGGATGCGGAAGAAATGCGTTCGCAAAATAAATAGAATAAAAAAAAATCTCCCTGTGATTAGTAACAGCAGTTACATCGCGTTTCAAATAGTCTTTTCTTTACTTGAATAGATCAACTTATTTTGTTGAAAAATATAACTTTTTAATTATTTTAATGTTTTTCTAGGAAGGTAATGAGACTCCTGAAATGACTGACTGTACACCTCAATTACGTTTACTTGGAAATCCTAAACAAGTAACACGAGTCGATATTAAAACTACAACAATACATATAAAACCTAATAATTTAATTAATCCAAATCAAGATGGAATGGATTTTCCTACAACAGAAGAATATATAATCGATATTGTATTAAGTAAAACAATGGCTATAGATTCAATAGCATTAAATTCTTTAAGTAATGTTGATAGTTTTAAAATACAATGTCATAATTCTCATGGTTATTATCTTGAAATTAAATCTATTATTGGTTGGAAAACTATTAATGGTCTTGCTAATACACAAGCTAATTTAATAAGAATTATTCTTCTTGGAACAGAAGATGGTAATCCACCAAATCATATATCAATTAAAATAGTTAAGATAGATTTTTTTATTAACTAATTATTCATCAAGAAAAAGAAAAACATTTGTTTTTTTTTCTTTCTTTTCTAAATCTTAGGCTGCTTGCATTCCAACAGGTTTACCAAAAATTATGAGAAGTCCATTTAAACATGTAAAATGAATATTTATATTTTATACATTTATGTTCAATTATTTTCTTTCAGGAACTAATAACTAAACGAAGAAAACCATCAAAACTCAGTGTAGGAAATATTTATTATGAAACATACGAAAAATCAACATAGAACTAGACAAAAGACTTTTTTTATTTTAGAAAAATCGTTTCGATATTCCCGAAGACCAGTTGATAATCACATATTCAGTAAGTAGAATTACTCGAAATGTACAAAATGCATATATTCTATTTAATATTTCTAACAGGAACAACAAGTTCCAATATCTGAAGAACAATTTCAACCTGACGCACAATCACCAACATCTGTACAACTAACAGCAACTGTTGATGTACGTATAAATGGTTCTAATATTAGAAACTTCTAATTATGATGCAAAGTGAAAATTTGAACAAAACTTTCTATCAATATACTTAACATTTAGGTAGAGGAAGATCAAGAACCTGTTATGAATATATTACCATCACCTATTCCTGTAAGAATAATTTATAGTTATTCCGTAGACAATGATAATTTTTTGTTTTGCTCATTTAATTAAATGATATTTTTAGCAACAACCACCATCAATTGTTGAATATCAACCATCGATAAACCCACAATCACAATTCATACAAAATCAAATTCCTGAAAGAAATATTCAATCACAGACAAATATAGTGGTAGGTACTCTGTTGTAATTCTGTTTTTTCTTTCGTTGATGGTTAATCATAATAGAAAAATGAGTCATCCAAAGAAAAATATAGAAATTTATTAAGAGGGCAGAAAATTGAAAACATGACAAATTATAAAAATATATTTCCTTTTATGATGGCCTTTACAAAAAAAAAGCAATGATACAAATTACAAGAACTTATTTTTCAATATTTTAATAAACATTTTATTTAGATAGAAACGATTCAAAAACCATTAATACAAACACAATCGTCACCAATTATCGTAAGTATTCATCGCAGAAAAAACTATGCAATTCTTATAATCATTACCTTTCTCACTTGGTGTATTGCATTGAACAGTTTCTATCATCAACAAACGTAAGTTTATCCAGTCTCTTCATCAGCAAAGTCGCCATGGTTAAGAATCTACGTTGTTCGACACCTATTCACAAAATACTGCATTTTAATCTCACTACTATCAGTCATGAAACAACTGTGGACAAGTCGCTAACAGCTATTTGTTTCGGACAACCCGTTCAATAGTTTGACGACTACGTTGTGACATACTGCTGTCCTTGTCATTAGTTAGTGTGTATGAAGAGTTTAAGCGCTATATGTCAGGCTTGTCTTCTCTTCAGAGATATAGTTAGTAACAGCCGTAGAGAAAAATATCGGACTATTCAATCAGCCGCTCCGCAGTAAGCTGAATAGTGAGGTGGCTGAAAAGCAGGACTAGTCTTCCTCCCTTCTTTTCTACAAATATTTTCAACAAATATCTTCCTTCTAGTCACAAGTACAAGAAAACATCGTAGTATCACAAATAACAAAACCAAGTATTTCGTTACCACCTCATCTTACTCGATCACCATCTGGATATACTTGTTCACACAATTATCAAATAACTACTAGTGTTCATATTAACAATATTTATACACTATGTGGTTGTTCACAATCATCCATCATCGATTCATCATCATCAAATTCATTATCCAGTAACAATGTATGTTCAAATTCTATCTATAGTTTTTCTCTTATTATCATTAATTATTTAGGGTTATTCATTTTCATCACATCATTATCCATTTCATACTATTGTTATTAGTTTAAAATTTACTGGTTATGTTCAATCATTATCATTAGGATCAAAATCAAATGTTCAAAAATATGGTCTTCGAATGTTTAATCCACTTCGAAATGTTGATGATACATATTATTCATCAATTGATTCAGATACTGGTCAACCAATTATTTCAAATATTCATATAGCTAAAGTAGCTATTCGTTTATATATTAATTTATATACAACAAATGATGGTAGACCACCAAATAATATTCAATTAAACTTTGTGAGTAAAATCTAACTTTGAATTTTCATGTTCTGAATATGAAGTAAAATGTAACTCTGTGTTGATATTTAGAATATTTGTTTTGATCTTCGTTCAAGTTCCAATGATGATGGAAGAGTTGTAATGACAGAAAAACCTGATACACCTAGTCCAATATTGATGCCTGAACCTACTCCATATGTTCAATACCAACAAGCTGTTGTAAGTATGATTACTTGTGGTTTAAGTAGAAAAATAGAAGCATATTTTTTTTTTCTTTACTTTAGTCACCAATCAGTGTACAAGCAATAGTTCTTACAATATCATCACCGATTATAAGTGTATGTTTTCAGTGAAGAATGCTTGTATTTAATCAAAATATTCTATATTTTGTTATTTATTTTAGCCAATAGTTCGTGAATCTGTACCAACCATTTCACAGGAGACAATTATTATTGAATCCCAACAACCAGTATTAGTTCCTACTCGTAATCAACCTGTAATCGAGCGTCCTATTTCGCCTGTTGCTACAGATACGATTTTTAGCTCAGTAAGAAAAGTATTTTTCAAGATGAAACTTATAATTTTAATATTCTAAAGAAAAGGAAATCATTCAGTGTGTAACAGTTATGGATCAATATTATGAATATAAGTTTCATATTTTTGATAAGAACGAATAATAATTTATGATCCGAATGATCTTTGATTGATCATGAATGAAGTCTTCTAATATAATGATTGTCAACGTTTAGAATCTGTTTTTAAGAATACTCCTCATAATGACTACATACAATATTTTCAGAACTGAAGCTTTTATGTTCAATGTTTAGATTGTATCAATACAAGAACCAATGATTCAGATGCTTCCATCACCAATTATTGAGGTAAGAAACTATTGAATAATTCGCGATGCTTTATCGATATGCAGTAAACAATAAATCCATATCCTTTGTAAAACAGCATTGAAAGAAAATAACTCTTAATGGCACACTTAAAGACGAAAAAATACTTTTAGTGAAGAAACTGTATTTTCGTGAGAAAATAATATCTAATCACTGCTGGAAATAAAGAGCAATGGAAGTCGTGCTGAATTTCATGATAAAAAAATCAAAATTCCAGTACAGTATAAATTTGATTAGATTTATCTTATTAAGAACAAATATATCGTTAGAGAAAACTACCATAAGTGCATCTCAAAACGACGTTTGTTCAATCTATTATAAATTATTGTGTTACTAATTTAAATATATAAAATTATTCGTTTATGATTTGATTATTCAATGAATATGATACAAAGGATTTTTTGAAATCACATCAACCTAGATGAATCCATACCTCGCATTCGCGCTGATGAAGCATATTCAGAATTACAAATGTTCTTCGAAAGAACAGCCACACGGGATGTTGTTGAATAGATCATGTGTTGAGATCTTTTTGAAGCAGGGGATAGGAGAAGATGAATATAGAATTTATTTGATATATGACAAAAGAAAACACAATGGAGGATATTTAAATTAGCGTCCAATCTCAATCTTCGCCTAGGTCAATTGTGAATCAATCATAGTCAATCTCGAATTGACTCACATATTCGATTAAAGCAAAACTTAACCATGCCATATCAAGTTTTCTTTCAAGAAAAAAACTAAAAATATCCAATCATCAGTAACTAACACAAAAATAATCAACGAATGATGCGAGTGTAGGTATAGACGTACTTTGCCTGCTCACCCCATTTGCACACTCAAACTTACAATTGAAATATAAATTAAGTATTTTCACTTTTTCAAAGTATGTTTTACCATAAACGACGATACGGTTTCATTCACATTTTTTATCTCATTTTTTTACTCAATACATTGTTGGGACTGAATCAATACCGCTACATAGAATGCTGTTTATATAGACTTTAACTCAAGATTGGCCGTATTAACCCTTCAACTGGTAATTCGTCTAAGTCGATCTGAAATTCACTTAAGTTTAATGAGAATAAGCTTATATTGTATATATTGTAACTGCTAAATTCAACAATGGACTGTAGTAATGTCCATTCAATGTTACATCTCAGGTTGGATGAATCTAAAGTGAAATCCTTGATTTGACCATAAAATACATTTGCACGTACGAATACATCACATCATATCCCCAATAATACATATAGAATTCCATCATATACGAAAATAGTGATCAGGGAAATAGCTAGAATGATTTCTTATTACATGCTTGAAATAGGATGCCATAAATGGGTATCAGATGTAACAATATAGACGCTACTGTTTTATATATTCCAAAATATTATTATAATTCTTGTTTTTAGGCACAAGTATCAGTACAAATCATTGAAAATACATATCCATCTCGTATTATTGTAAGTTTTATACGATGTAGTAACAGAAAACCGAATAATTATTCTCCACTGTTATAGCCAAGTCGATCTTTTGTGTCAACTCCTACTGAGCCTGAACTAATACAACAATCGCTTATCATTGAAAGACCATTGGCAAGTGATATACTTCCATCCGTATCTGTGCAAGTAAGACATTATATTTTGTTCTTGCTTCATGTTAATGTACCATCAATTACTTATTACTCAATCGTTTTTTTTTTCTTCATAAAAGCAACATACACATTGAGAAGTAGACTATTTCACAGAAGATAAAAAAACTATTACAATAATAATCCAAAGTAACTTTCCATATCGATTTTGTTATATCAGATCCATATATAATATATCCTGTCACGTGTCAATAAAATAAATTAATATAAAATATCTTGAATTCATGCCGATACTATGGGGAACCAAAAATGAAACCTTTAATTCCTAATCAATATATTCTACATTCTGTGTTCTTAGCTCTCGGTACCACAGATAACAAAACCAAGTATTTCATTACCACCTCATCTTACTCGATCACCATCTGGATATACTTGTTCACACAACTATCAAATAACTACTAGTGTTCATATTAACAATATTTATACACTATGTGGTTGTTCACAATCATCCATCATCGATTCATCATTATCAAATTCATTATCCAGTAACAATGTATGTTCAAATTCTATCTATAGTTTTTCTCTTATTATTATTAATTATTTAGGGTTATTCATTTTCATCACATCATTATCCATTTCATACTATTGTTATTAGTCTAAAATTTACTGGTTATGTTCAATCATTATCATTAGGATCAAAATCAAATGTTCAAAAATATGGTCTTCGAGTGTTTAATCCACTTCGAAATGTTGATGATACATATTATTCATCAATTGATTCAGATACTGGTCAACCAATTATTTCAAATATTCATATAGCTAAAGTAGCTATTCGTTTATATATTAATTTATATACAACAAATGATGGTAGACCACCAAATAATATTCAATTAAACTTTGTGAGTAAAATCTAACTTTGAATTTTCATGTTCTGAATATGAAGTAAAATGNAGATACAGTACCGTAACCTCACCCAGATCCATAGTGCAAAGTTCGAAAATAGTTATCCCATGCCTTCAAACAATATAATCGACTCAAAATTATATTCTTTTGGATAATGCTAAACGACCACAACGATCATGGAGAAAAAATGAAATTGAAGATTGATTTAATCAATTAATCAGTAAACATCAAAGTTCACTCAAAAATTACGGTTGATAGGATATATGATTACAAATAGGGATGCAACGGTAAGAAAACGGCAGAGCCGGTAAGAATACGAAAAACCTACGGTGAAGACCGGTGCATCAGCGACATTCGATTACTATAGTAGAGAGCTGTCTATATAACAGAAAAAACTGGTCTTCACCGTAGGTTCTTCATCAGTTTACCGGTCTTAACGGTTAGCTTGAAAGTGCATCCCTAATTACAAATATTTCGTCTAAGAAATTGAAGACTGATGCACTAACTACCAAACTGCAACAGTAGCTATAAGTAGAATTCAATGATTTCCCAAAAATTACCCGGAATCGGAACCATGGTTCCGATTACTGAAAATGAGAAAAAAATGGTTCCGATTTAGTTTCCAAAATGTCACATTATTAAAGAGATATGAAAACTACGTATGTGTTTTGAGAAATTTTCACAAGTCAACAGTTAAAATTAAAAATATCACATACTTCAGTACTTAAACAAAGCAATATAATATCGAAATCTAATTTCAAGTGGCATATGTGTCTTAAATTAATTGTGTTCTGTGACGTGTTATGTCAGTCTTATCGGTGAGGTTACGGTACTGTATCTTTTTACGCTAATTAATATGAACTTGTGATTAGCTCACGACCAAATTAGTTCGAAAAGACATACTTATATCTTCTAATATAATGAAAAACTTTAAAAACATATTTTTGTTACACTTGTTGTCATGTTGTAAATCTGATCAATAGAACAAATTAAAATATTCCATAATGTGATAAACAATATCATTATTTATAAGTTGATATGAAAAAACATGTGTCAGACCATTGCATTTGCATCATATATTACAAACGAGATGATGTCCGTTGTGCTTGTATTTATGAATATAGAGGCGTGCGACATAACTATTACTGTATCATTACTGTCTTATTGTTTTACTGAATAGTTATATGACTTTTATCACTTCCTCTTTTTTTATGACTTTTTACCATTATTCTCTCAGCATTTTCATCTCGTGGCAACTTTATTATTCTTTACTTTGTCATCAATCATGATAGGCATGTATTATGATCTGCAGTAAAGTGAAAATAATCAAAAGGTAATAAAATACTGATATTCTAACATTCTGATGTTTTGGTTTTCTTTGCACATATTTAGTTACTCGATATAATCATTAATAATGCATGACAATATCATTAAAAGATATATCTTTTCAAACTTTCATCGCGACATACATGATGAATTTAAGGATTTTATCATCATTGATCCGAGCCAATAGTAAAAAATGACAGAAAATTAAGTCTTTGGGAGGCCAAACCCATTTATCTATATACGGTTTCAAAATTTGACTAAGGTACAGTAAAATTAGGATTTTTAGTGTGAAATTTATTTTTAATATACGTTTTACATATGTAGATGTTATTATATAACCTAAGTAGAATATACATATATTTAGCTCATTATCGTCAGTCATCGTTAATTGCATATTTTCGTTATAAAGTCAATATTGGAAAGAAACTTGATTTTATAGATAATCGTTTATCACTTATTCGTAAAACCTTAGAAACTTATAGTGCTTCAAAATCTACAATAAGTCGTTCTGCATTGACTGATCAATCCATTAGACTTACTGCTAAACACTTTCCATTTCTCGTACATCAAACAACAAATATAAAAACTCTTCAGCAAATTTGTGTTGACTATGCACACATTAGTCGCAGAAAGCGAACTGTCTCACGCTATGTATGTAAAGATTGTAATGTAGATCTTTATGTTGTTAGTTGTGCCGAGGAATTTCATACTTTATTACATTTTTTTAGCTTTTTTGCATTAACGTTCTTTCTCATGTGTTATTGAATTTCTGTGTGTTAAACTTATTAAATGTGTGTTTTGTTTCAAAATAAACGTCGTGTATCTTTTGCATTAAACCTGGATGAAAAAATTATGAAAAATAATTTTCAACCATAATTGATTTTGTAAGTGAAAATCCAATTTTTTTCTGTATAAACAGTCCATCCTCAAAGGATTAATAAGAAAAAAAAACCACTGAAAAGATTGTGAATATGCTTATTTCGTTTTTATACGTATTTATTTCAAGAATGTGGCAAAGGAAAAAAATGAAAGAAACGCAGAGATTTTTGTTCCATCCTATAATCTGTTTTGTTTCCTACAAAGAAATCAATGATGACTACGATTAAATGAACATTTCCTTAAGGGGATGACGTGAAGGGAGTGCACATTATCGCCTATGGCTACATCCTGGTTTCTTTTCTTGCTTGATTTCACTTTAGATTTTTTTTCCACCGATGCTCACTGAACTCAATGAATACGCTTGTCAATTACGTTTCTGTTTCTTTTTTTTTTCTTTTTTTCTTTTCCTCTCTCTCTCTGTTGGACCATCATACTATCAAAGAGTCAAAAAATACTAATGCTTTATATATGTATATACTATTCAAGTTCGAATCAAACATCTAAATAGAACATTTTCTTTTTACTTACTATAATTGCAATCGATTTGATGTACTAAGTATTATATTACTAGTGAAGGTAAATGTAATTTTTAATTCATCGTATAATTGTATACTCTTTATGAAAAGAAAAAGTGTGCGATAGACATACATATTTAGTAAGTTGAAGAATGTTTTTGATCGAATTTGTAAGCCAAAAAAAGGATAGATATTCCATTCAAATCTCTTCTTACCAGTTTTGACAGTTTAATTAGATTTATGATTAGTTATAGAGTATATATTTTAATAAATAATGCGTAACATTAATGTCTCTATTGTCATAAAACTATTCTATTGTGTTTCTTCATATAGATTATTAGATGGCAATCGTACCTAGTCGATCAACCTCCCCACGAATAGATCCATTCAGTCGTATATTAATCGTAACTGCTACTTTTTTTGCAATGGCTGCTTTAACATTATTAATTGTTGGTATAGCAACACGTTCTTGGTACTATTCTAAAGATTCAAACGGTAATATAGAATATTATAATTTTTTTACACAATGTGTAGGCAATGAAAACAATGGAACATTAATATGTATTGATATGCAACGACAAACTAGTCTTGGTTTAGGTACTCAACATGCAGCAGCCTTATTAGTTGTTGCTATTTGTTTACTTGGTTGTGGTATGTTAGTTACATTGGCTATGAATTTTGTTCAATTAACAGGTATATTGGTGTTGATTGCACCAATACTTCTCTTTCTTGCTACGCTTTTTATGGTTGCTGCACTTGCAGAAGGCTCAAAAGTTACCACATTTAATAGTTATAGTGCTAATCTTGTTCAAACTGGTCATGTACTTACTATATTTTCTATGGGTATTATTGCTTTTACTAGTGGACGATTATATAATCGTTATTATGAACAATTTTAAAAATATTAATTGAAACATTTAGAGTATTTTATTGTTAATATTTATGCTTCTAGTGAATTTTCAGAAAAAAAAATATTAAAAACAAATTAACTAAAAGTCATTATTAATTGTAACTAGATTGCATCTGAACTTAGATCAAAGTGTGAAGTGTTTCGATTTTTGAGTTTTCAACATTGTACAGATAACAAAAACCCTTAGTATCCTATCGAATGGATTTTATTCAATTTGTTCACATTGGAAAATCGCTGGTGAAACTATGTCGTGTTTCATAAAGCATTTATTGTACATAAACTTTGCATATTCGATTCATACAAATGAATGAGACTCTATTTGTTTATATGGATATCAAATATTCAGTCATCTATAGATTGTGAAGTTTTGTTTTGTTTGTTGTAGAAATCTTTGATAGAGAAAAAATTTTCATATTTTCCACTTTCGTTTTTTTCTGCACAACTCTAGCAAAGTGTTTAACTAGTAATATCCTATAGAGTACTGTTAATTAAGAAAAAAAAAGGATATCAACAACTGCCCATTGATGAATTATCATCTGTGCTAACGATAATTATTAATCATTGTTAAGATTTGCACTTAGCCTCACTTCATTATATGAACATAATGGAAATAAAATCCATAGATTATTTATAATATCTAAAAGATACTTTGAATGAACAAAACATCATAGCGAAAATTGAATAAAATTTGTTTTATATACAGATCTCAACATCTTAAATAATGATTTTTATGAGCATCAGACGATGTACCACTCTCAAGATCAACGTGTTGCTATAAAATGTTTCACACCTTAATAAACTGTAAAGCAAAGTACAATCGTTCGAAGGCGACCTCTCTTTTCCATAAAGAGGTGTTGTCATAGTACGGAGTATGAAAAATGAAGAAAAATAGATGCATATTTAAATAGGCTTCTTAACATTATTGATACTTTAAATATGCAACAAGTTCGTTTAAATCGAGAACCGATACCTGAAATAGGTATTTGTGAAAGAGAAACTGCTCCTACTATCGTTCGTACCGATCTATCATCATTATTAAGTGAATATACTAATACACAAAGACGATGTATGTATTATTAGTCATAGTCTATAATTATTTGTTTGTATATATTTATATATGCATCTATCATGTAGATAATAATCGTCTTGAATCTCTTGAACGTGAAATGACAACTCTTAAAGATCAAATTCATCAAGCTGCTCCATCATCGGATGAACATGAACTTAATCGAACATTTACAACAAAAAAATCATCAGTTTCACAACCAACATCAGCTCGAGTCACAAGTCCTTCTCGTATTCCAGTACCGATAACGCCTCGAAAATTAACTAATGACGATATGCCAGTAGTGCCTGCAAATACTTTGCCATCTACTTCACGTCCTTTACCTCCGGTGCCTTATGGGCGTAGTAAAACCTTTCATAATGATACATCTCAAACATCACCCAATACATCAGATGAAGCAAATCTTCTTCGATCTTATAAAGTACATCTTGAACAAGTGCTTCATAAAGATGCACAACCATATTCTGATATAAAAATTCCAAATTATACATGTATAGAAGATGTAATCAAAGCAAATGAGGTATTTATTTAAGATCCCATCCTTAAAAAGCAAAAGAGTCAATTTTCGTCAGAATTGTCGAAAATTAGATAAATTCATGAGAGGATAGTCCGATGCTTGATCTTTTTATGCTTTTTTAATCGTACATCCCAGAACTCTCGAAGGAGCTTCATTGTAGCCAATTGCTTTTTCTTTTTGTTTGAAAATGCATAACAGAGTGTCTTTTTTGAATTAGACCTTTTTTTTTTATTATATAAATGAGCACTTTTATAATTAGATTGAAAGTTTTTGAAACATTGAACTTCTCGTTTCTTTTCTTCGCGTAAAAAGTAAGAATTTAAAAAGAAAAGGTATTGTCGTGCTCTTTCAAAACTAAACACTCGTTGGAACAGATGAAAATCGGCCAGTATAACAGAGTGTTCACAAAGGAGGTGAAATATAAATCACAATATTAGTTTTACCACTTTAAGTCTCTTTACAAATGTTTTTTTTTTAATTTTATTAAAAAGTTTTTGACTTTTAGTAATTTAAATTTTTTAATCAGATAGATTTCAAGCGTCACATTAAGGTTCTGCTTGATTCGATTTAAACATTATTATTGATGTTTTGACTAAAATCATGATTCACTTTGTACTTCATCTTTTCGTTTAAATTTTTTCGTATAAGAATATTTGACACAGCATCGATGAACACTTGGACTTTATCTCTTAATTCATTATGCGACAAACAAAGTTCTTTCTCTATGATTAAATTCAGTTTTTGACTCTAAATCAACATCATTGCGAAATAAAATATCTGATAGACAAATGTTGAAAATAGTGAAAAGCAAGACCAATCATTTTTGGTTCTGATTTCGTATTTTGTAATGCATGTACTAGCGAAAAATGCGATATTATTTTTCTAGTAGTATCACTGTGCTGAAGGCATCTTGCACGAACCGCATGAACTTTAATGTCCTCCCTCTTGGAGATTCATGACTTGTTTTAATTCATCCATACTACATCCATTCTGCACGTTCATGCGTTTGACAACTCTGTTGTTTACAAAAGAAAGGATAAATTTTACTATCAAAACTGTAACAGCAACTATTGAAACGATTCTTACTTAATAATTTTTGCATAAACTTTCAATCCCAATGAAAAAGTTTTGTTTCGGGTCTCGGTCTCATTGGAATCATCTTGCTCATATATCTAGTTGAGAAGTTGATCAAAAGGACAGCAATATCTATTCGTCTATTCTTTCTCTTTTTCGTTTTCATAGAACTAAATCATAGCATCGATTCATTTATTGATAATCATCTTCACAACTCGGAACATCTAATTTATTCAAATAGCGCTTTCTATTGATGCTAACATTCAGAATCAAGGAGTATTCACTAAGAGAAGCTTTAATGTATGTCGAATGAGGATCAACAGAGAGATTCTCGCAAACGTCATGCTATAGAACTTAGAATTGTATCATTGTCTGTTCATGGTGACTCTAATGCATTCTAAAAGTTTTAGGTGCTGGAGCAAAATTAGTTTTTGAGGGGGCGAGGGCGATCTTAAATGTAGATTATTATTATTATTTATTTTATTCTTTTCATTATTCAGCAACTTTTACTTGAAAATGATCGTCTTCGATCAGAATTGAATCGTTTAAAAACAGAAAGTACTTTATTACTTCGATCTATGAAAACAGCAACAGGAATTGAAACAAATTTAGGCAATGAACGAGTATGATTGAAAAACTTTCAGAAATATTCTCTAATAATTTCTACTATAGATCATTGCTGAACGTGAACGTCAAGAATTAACAATGGAATTATCACGACAAGTCGAAGAAAATAAACGTCTTCGAAAATCATTATTAGCTCAATCAGCAAAATTTTTAGCATTACGTCATTCAACAAATATTTCTAATGCTAATTTATCAATGTCCAGTGATCATCGTCGTACACCAGTAAGATTGAAAACATATATATAATTTTGAAAGAATATTATTCTTTTTCTTTAATTAAGGAATCAGCACCACAAGCATGGCCTAATTCTAGTAGAATTCCACAACCAAGATCAGCTCGATATAAATTGGATAATAATCGAGGATTTGCTCGAGCAAAATCATTTCATCAGGGCTCAAAGGATCCATCATGATGTGTTAGATTATATAAATCGGTGTATGCAATATATTTCGTTTCATGTTTTATTTTTATATTCATCAAACATTATTTAAATATTATATAATTACGCATATTTTTTTTTTTATTTTATCAACAAATGAGATGTATATGTTTATAGATATTCGACTCTATATAAAAAGGAAGAAATTTTGATCTATAAAGCTAAATTATAAATAATAATAATTTATTTTTCATGATAAGGAATAAGAATTCATGTTATCAATTCTTTTTCTCAAAACCGACTGTTAGAACGGTTTGATGAGATCGGTTCGTGATTTTTTTGGAATCGAATTGATCTGTTTTTATTTTGAACTCAAACCGAATCTATTTAGATCTGATTCAGTTGGACAACCAAGTGATTCTATCTCTATTGCTTTTGCAATTAGATTTGATAATAATGCATGTAAATCAAAGCTCTGTTGATCATAGTTTCATATTTTTGTAATGGAGGACAAATGCACAGATAAAGATATTGTGAAGATTTCTTTGTGTTTTATCTTCTCATTAAATTGGAACAAATGATTTCTAAACTCATCTGAAATAAATTTTTATTTTGCCGCAATCAAACAGTGCATTGAAGACTCAATGTGAACTTGCATATCTACTTTAATGAGAATATCGGGAAAAAAAATAATCATTTTGAATCAATCTCTGGAAGTTATATACCCAAAACTATTTTTAAATCATAGATAAGCAACAAATTATTGTAGATTTCTATAATTCAAGTTTTTTGGATCATACTATGTTCAATAATTTTATTTTGTGGGTTCTATTTAAACTTAAATCAGCATGCAAGGGTAACGATCCAAGAAACAGAAAAAATATTAATCTTTATGGCATCAATTAAAACAGAACTATAGATATTATACGAAGCTACAAACGTGCGATTATAAAGAATAGTCAATAAGACATATAGAAAAACAATTGATTTTGTAACAAGGTCTGATTTAAAAATAACGTCAAAGACTGTTTGCTTTCAATTTCAAGTGAAATTTTACTTCAAAATTTCTATTAGGAACAATAATAGAAGACTAAACGTTCTTTATTATATAAGAATCGAGATAAATACAATATGATTGATAAATTAGTTCATATATCGTAGATAACGATCATTGAATAGTTTTGTTTTTATTTTTAAACATTCTAAAACTTTTTCACTCGTATTTGATGCCGTTTTTTTGCTTGGATTATATTCGGATTGAACAAGGCGGAAAATTTAAGAAAAAAGATATAAATAAATACTGTATGTACGGAACCCATGACTAACATTGTTAGAGCAGTCATAAGCGCCAATGACGATGCGCACGCTTGTTCCTACATTATAATAGTTGCATTTAAAATTCAAATTATTTTTTCCTTACAAAATCTTTTGGATACATGACATTCACTGCTGCATCAGTAATGAAAATAGTAGCTGTGGTTGTTGTAGTTCCAGTAGTTGCTAAAAATATTTACAAAAAATTCGAAATATTTATTCTCGGTAATATTAAGAGCGATTTTGGGCTGATACATTCAAATAGTTTTAACTATATATATACAAGCAAGAACAATTAATTCTTTACTTGTTTCAGAAGTTATAGTGGTAGTTGTGATTATGGTTGTCGTAACTGTTGTTGTACTTGCCAGCACAATACCAGTAGTTGTCAACTTATATAAATTCAAATTGAATATGAAAATGATAAATACTTTTGCAACTTACCAAAGTATTAACAGTAGTAGTTGACAAAGGTCGTGTTGTTACCGTACCAGTAGTTGGTGGAGTAGTAGTCGTTGTTGTAGTTGATGAAACAGCTGGATTCCAAATATCGAACCTCCAAAAATTAGAATCAGTGGTTGGTGATGACTCAGGTTCTTAACATTTCAGTTATAATCTATCTTATGATTACATATACTAAATAATTACTTACTACAGAAGTCAGTGCCACTAGCTACACCTATATCAATAAATATGAAGTTATATTCGTAAATAATAAGATAGAAGAACTCTTACCACTATCGAAAGTCACATAATATGTATGTCCTACAATCCAAGGTGGAGATGGTATATAAATAGTAATTGTATTTCCACTGTACATCACATGAGGATCCCATCCACAATCAACTGTATGAACATTTGTACCAGTTGCAGCATCATTGAAATAGACATATGTATAATTTCGAGATGGACGATTTACTTGACGAGTACCAATTGTTAAAACTGTGCCCTGAACAGATGAAGCTTGAATCAAATTAGGAGAATCATAACCAACTAAGAATATGATGCACCATTGATTTGATTGCACATTTGTATCATCAATAACATCAGCACAAAAATCTTGTGAACCAAATTGATCAGCTGTTGGAATCTAGCTAAGAACGATTTGATATATGCCTTAAATCATTGAGCTATAACAATAATATAAAACTGAGACACTGAAAGCGACATACCTGAACTAGGATTTTGAATTCCACTTTTTGTTAATCCAACAGGAGAACTAGTAATAAAATCAACAATACTTTTTCCCGAACAATAGACTTGTACTATAACATATTCAGTGACATTTAAACCAATAGATATTCCAACACAAGCTAAAATCAGATATTATCAATTGTTGTTATATGTGAGGTCTCAATGTATTGATGATGGCTTCTTTTTATAAGAAAAAAATGACTCTTCTTTTGATGTATTTTCTTACCTCGATTTGGTCAACTACCAATAATAGCTGGTGGTGTACATGATGGAACAAGATTCTTAAATATAAATCATGTCTAAGGAGTCTCTAATGTGTTATTTTTAACTCAAAACATAGACAAAAATGATCATTTTTATGAAAAGTTTTTATTTTTGCACTGAAAGTATACCAGAACAATTCCCTTCCCAACATCGTTTAGTATCATAAGAAAAGCCATCAAAAACTGCATCCTTTTGTATATAATGCAACAAGACAAAATGTGAGGAGCTTGTTTAATCTTTGAGCACAAAGAAAATCACTATCATGTGAAATAGTTTCACATAGGTGAAAAATAACAATTTTTATTTTATTTTAATTTTTCAATTGTAAGATTGTATGAAATTGTTTTTGTACATATTGTATATTTGTACATTCCCTATAGTTACTGTTGGTATATGATTTAGTTCTTTTGTTATTATAAATAAATCTTTTATTACATTTTTATCTCGAGGGGTCACCTTTTTTGCACTTCGTACTAGTTAGTCGGATAGATAGGCACACTGCTAGATAGATTTGTAGGTGAGTTAATGGGTAAAGAGATAGATCTATCTATCTACATATTAATTATTAATATTACATGAATCGCTCACATGGACAAAAGAATTCACGAAAAAAACATATCAGAAAAGGTGTGGAGATAGAGAAAAAAGAAAGGAGCATGGAAATGGATGGAAAGCCCAGCCGTTTTACGATACTAATCGCGGTTTCTCATTGTGAGTCAGAAATGTGCACAATAAGTAGACGTGAAAATGGCTAAAAAAGAGTAACGTATAAACTGTGGAAAATTCTGAACGATGCAAGAACTGCCCGTTTTCACGCTGCATTTTTTGAGTGCTTTCCTGTAGCAGTCGCGAACCGCAATTAGCATGCGAAAACGCTCAAAACTTTTGTACAGTTTACACACGTTTTTTCACTTTGTTTGTCTGCTTGGATATTCAAATATCTCTATGCTATCTTTCCAATTAGGATTGACTAGAATTCTCTTTACATTAAACAAAAACTTTCACGTTTTACGTGGTGTTTCTTTGGCATTGATCATAAATATTAGATATAGCTGTCATAAGAGAAAAACGAGTCTAATTACAGTTCCACCGTATTTCGTTTCTTTCTATCGATTTGCTTTCAAGAAGAAATAGAAAAATGATCATTTTGGTTGAACTTCTTTTGAAATTGTCTAACTCTAATAGAATATTGTTCCAGATTATGTATTGTACAAAACAGCGCAAAATATGTTGCATATCTAAAAACTATTCATCAAGTTTATTTCTCTGTTTTGTTTTTTGTTAAACTAACTCCATTAGAAACACACAAAACCTAATTGAAAATAAATTAAAACAATTCATCATATCTCATTATAAAATGTCAATAAAAAACGAAAACAAAAACTTCTTTTTTTTAATATAATGACAGAATTTCAAATATTTTTACTCGTAGACAAAATTGATCTAAAAAAGAAAATATCTTCGCAAAAATATAAATGTTGAGGAAACTTTCTTTTTTTAATCATATTTTATATTTAGGTATACTTCTACTCAAAGTCATTATTATATGTTTCATTAAGTGGAAATATTGTTCTTCGAACAAAATAGTTTTATCCTTCTATCATCTTTCTAAACAAAAACTATAAACCACACCTTTGACAAAGATTCCAGCATCATGTATTACTCATCAAAAACTAAAATATTTTGAAAATCGTATTAGATAGTTCATGGTGTTTGTTAAACAACAAACGATGTGAGCAAATCTCAATTGGGGTGTGGGTGTGGGTACTCTCATTATTCACACCCACACCCTACTCAGATAATAAACCTTTGAACGACCACCACCACTCACCTCTTAACTGAATTAAACGCAAAAATTCGAGATAGTTAGCAAAAAAGATGTAGTTCCCATTTAAGAGACATTAAAATCGAAACTGTTCGTATATTATTCTTCTGTTAAATTCAAGTCTACAGTCAAAAGGTTTTCTCTCCCGACAAACTTCTTAAAATTAAAGTTGATTTTCGTATTTCATATGCATCATAAGAACAAGTTCACATTCAATATGTCAAATAATGGTAATTAGTAAACAAGGATATGGTTATTTAGCTTAACCAACAATGTATGAAAACCATGGATTGGATTTTAATTAAAATGTATCAATAGATGATAGCATTTGTCGTGGACATGCAGCTTATTTACGTCGTCAGCAATATCCTTCAATGAAATTTAATGCATCAATTACATGTAAAAGAAAATTCTACTTAACAAATTTTATATTAGCGTTAGTTTTTTTTATACATGTTATTTAACTAATCCGTGTACATTTATTAGCATTACATCTTGATATATATTTAGTGGAACTGATTAAAAATGGAAAAAAAGATTTTTTTTTTTTTTTTTTGTGTTTTATTTAAAGAAAAAAAATTAAGGATAAAATTTTTTATTCTCTTTAACCATATCTATTAAAAATTGTGTTGGAACGAAACGATCACCATATTCTAATTGATAATTATTCATTAAATCAACTATGTTACAAATGCCATAGGTATCCATAAAACGAAATGGACCTAAATCCGTAATATATAAGAATAGAAAAATAACAGAAAATAAAAGTATTATATTTACCTCCTTTCATTGGAGGAAATCCAAGACCGAATACAGCACCTATATCACCATCTGTCTAAAAAAGAAACATGAGACTTGCTTCAAAAGTTATATAATGAATTTTTCAAGATTAAACTGCGACATTACGATTTTGTTCTTTCCTTTTACATTAAAAGACAAATTTAAAGACTATGGCTCAATGTTTTGATCTTTGACATGAGGAGAGGAATCTCCTTGTACGCCTCCCATGAAAACATTTAAGTTGATACAGAGTTTATTTATGGACTCGCTTATTTCAGTGTGTGAATTCCAACCTAATTCGGAATAGATAAACAAGCTGATTCATATATTCATGACTGCAAGAGTTATATTAGTAGGAAATCAATGAAAAATAAATCAACTGACATCGTATAATGAAACTGTTTATGTGATATTTGTACCTGAGGGAAATATCGAAATTCTGAAACTCAGAAAGCCATTATTACCATCTTGTATTAATGATATCATAATGCTATCATGATTTAACATGTCATCTAATCAATTGAAACAAAATGCACGACTTTTTTGTTTTCCTTATCTCACAAGTTTCAATTAACACTGTAATAATTCAACTAAATGAATAACGAAAATTTTTCCTATGATAAGATTTCGCTATCACTAATCCTTCTTCGATTCTTATATAATCTAAAAAATCCTCTACTGATCCGTATCTGATATTTGAAAATCTACGTTTGATATTTAAAAGGATTAGTAATAGTACGTATGTTGGTAGGTAACCAGATAACATTCCCAACTATCCAATCGCTATTTTCTTAAGATTACTGTTATTCAACCGATCATGATCAGTAGTAAAAGTCTTGTTTGGTTCGGTCTTCACTTGCCGAACAATGAGCGTTTTACTCAATGAGCATGAAAAAGCTGCGAACGGGGGCGATCGAGTTTTGAGTTAGAACGAATGTATTCTTGTTAAGATATTTACATCTTAAAGAAACGTCTATTTTGGTGTATGTTTCAAACACAGAATATTCTTATGACAGGCTAATATCTCGCTATGGATATATTTGTCCTAGTTCAAAATTTAGCCTCTTTCTAGTAACTATAAGGCTTACCTGGGAACAAAATTTCAGCTAAAAATACGATTATCCAGGTTCTCAGCGAGTCTATGCTCATGGAGTAAAGATCCAGTAAAACGCTCATAATTCGACAAGCAAAGACTGGATAACCACATCAAAACAGACTTTTTTACTACTTATTATGATTGATCAAATGACAAAAGTCTCAAGAGATAAGCGAATAAATAGTTGGGAAAATCGTTTCGTAAAAAGCTTTAGTCAAACACAACTTTTCTTACAATAATTTAATCGTATTGAAAACCTATCTAAGAAGTCTTATTTCTAATCAAAAACTTTTTAAATTAGTTCTTATTATCTCTAAAAGACAATTTATTGCAACACATTGTCAATCCATACTGGAGAACTAATAACATTTTCTTCCAGACATCGTGCAGCTTCATTTATAATTCGAAGACAGATACGCCATTGAATAGTTTCTATTCTTGATCTAAATATTCAACTATATCAAAAGAAAATATATCAAATATTCTGTATTTACATGTCTTTAGTTTGTGTCAAAGAATTTTTAAGTAATTCTTTGCACTTCGGATTAATCTTCTTACTACCATCATTAGAATAAATATATAAACCTTGTCCAAATTTTTTTCCAAGTAAATTATTTTTAACAAATATATGAAGCAATTCTATTACAGACGAATTAGCAAGACGTTCACCAAATATATTCTGTAGATGATATACTATATATGTAATAGTATCAATACCAAATTCATCTAATAATATTGTTAAACCAATATGAAAACCAAATTTTTTTGTTGCTTTATCAATATCATTCGGTGATAAACCTTCTTGTAAAAGATAAAATATTTCAATAAAAGCAAATATTAATAAACGTGTTGTATAAAATCCTGGACTATCATTAACAACAATAATAATTTTTCCTTGTTTAAGACCAACATTAACTGCTGTACAAACTGTATTATCAGATGTTTGTTTAGCTCGAATAATTTCTAATAATTCAACTTTATCGACTGGAGAAAAATAATGCAAACCAATAACCTATTATTTATTAAAAAGTGATTCTTTTTCTTTTATTTTAATGATTTACTTTATGTGGACGTCGACTATGTGCAGCTATTTGATGAATAGATAGTATATATGTATTAAAAGCAAATATAGAATGTTCTGGAATGTATTGTTCAAGTTCATTAAGAATATTTTGTTTCAATTTAAGATCTTCAAATCCAGCTTCTATTATAATATCACATTTATCTAGATTATTAAATGTTGTTTGACAATTTAAATTTGATAGTATTTGATTATATTCAGTACTAGATTAGAATAATGTTATATCATAATCAAATGAGAATCATTATATTTGTTTTTTTTTACTTTGTTATTCGATTTCGTTTAATATAATTTTGATAACTCTTAACTATTTGTGATTGACCATGATAGAGTGCAATTGATGTCGGATCATAAAGTATGACTTGAAAATCTTTATCGATAGATATATGTGCAATACCAGCACCGATTACACCAGCGCCAATGACAGCAATAGTTCTATTCATTATAGGAAAATATAATACTACTCAACGTCATTAGAATAATACAGTTTGAATTTTTCAATTAATATGACAAATGGAATTCTCAGATGACGGCATGACACTGATCTAGAAATCTCGATATGTACTGGATTTAATGGGATTATATACTACCCTCAAATTAATGTCTTATTCTCATAATTGTAAATATGAATAATCATGTAAACTAGAGATATGGAGGGTTATGTAACCTTGGAGTGTAGGGTAAGGGTTAGGAAATTTTTCTTATTCAAGATATCAAGTACGAAAGAAGCTTATTCTGTACAGATGTAATGTAAACTCACTTGATTTCTCTTTTGGGTTTTCCAAATTTATTTTTTTTACATTCAGTACGCCCATGAAATAGACTAATTAAGGCTTTTGATTCATTGGTTATACAGAGATCTGCAAAACCCTAAAGTTTATAAATAAATTTATTCTTTTATTTTGAAAAAGAAAATATTTCGAAGCTTACTTCTGCTTCAGCATTAAATCCAACTTTTGAACCATTTTCTAACGTTTGTTGAATAACCTAATGATAAAAAGTTTCTTATGTGCTTCTTTTTTTTTGTTTCATGAATATATCTAATACAAACATCTAAAATTTTCAATGGTGCTGGATAAAGACCTTGTGTTTGTGACATAACTTTTGCTTGAGCTTGAGATAAAATATAATTTTGTACATAAGAATTTGACATTATCATTGATTTTATATCTATCATGAATAGTTAATAACCAAGAATAAAAGAAGTGAGATATCCTACTTTCCATCAGTCCAGATTTTCTCTTAGAAGGTTTTTGTACAACAAGCTCTCTAGAAAAAAAATCGACAACGTAAATATAGAGAATGCAATGACAAAAATATCTTGTAAAATGATGCGTATTCAGTGAGTTTCTATCTTTCATATCTGACAGAGTTCAACTCGGATCTTTTCAATTTTGAGAAAGCTCGTATGGATCCGCTAGAAAGGACGTTTAATCTCTGATTTCTAATCGGATTCAATTATGTCCGAATCGGGTCTCAAAAATTTAACTCATATCGAATATTAATATTTGTAGTAGACTCATACAAACTAAAATATCGATTTTGATATTATATTAATACAGAACTTCTATTTCATCAAAATGGTCTTTTGAATCATTCAAGACATACTTGACTTTTTGTATAGCGATTGAACGTAAATATTCAATATTTTGTTCTTCAATATCTTGAACATCAGATCGAATAGGTTCAACGAGAATATCAACTAAACCCATTGCTTTGGCTTTTTTTGCTTTAATTTCTTTACCCGTTAACATAAGATCTAATGCATCAGATAATGAAAGATTTTTTAAAAGCCTTTGTGTACCACCAGCGCCAGGTAATAATCCTAATTTAACTTCCGGTACACCAAATCCAGTACGTTTATCATTCATTGCAATTCGATAATGACACGCTAAAGCAACCTAATAGAAAAAAACTGATAATAAATTAAAAAACAAACTAACGAAAGGAAAAACAACAGTCTAACTTCAAATCCACCACCGAGACATGATCCAGCGATAGCTGCAACAATTGGTTTTGATGATTGTTCAATTTGATTCATAATTTCTTGACCATTACGTGACATTTGATAAAGTTCATCACGAGACTCAACAGATTCAATCATACTAAATAAAAAAATGAATATAAAAATCGAATAAAAAAGAATTATTTTTTCTAACTTAATATCAGCTCCAGCAATAAATGAACCAGGTTTAGCTGATATAACAATAATTCCTTGAATATTTTCATCATTTTTTAAATAATTAAATACTGGAACGAATTCATTCATCATTTCTCGTGATAATGTATTAACCTTAATTAATTATTGAAATTATTAAATTTTTTTTTTAAATAAATTTTACTTTAGAATTTTCTTGATTGAATTGAACAATAGCAATATTATCGTCATAATCAAGTTTTAAATTTTTTAATTGTTGTAAATCAGCTAAATAGTTTTAACATATGAGAAAAACCAAAGAGTATAATAAATATCTTACTCATTGTTCTTAAAATAATGATTTTTAAATCTAAATAATAAATCTGTCAGAAAAAAATGACTTTTTTTAGATGTGTGACTGTGAATAAATTTATCAATTTAAAAATTAATTTAACCTAAACATATCGTCGAGAATCTTTTCTTGTCTGTAATTTACCTTTTAAAGAAAAACTAACCAATGAAAATAAGGATTGAATAAATAAATTATATTTGAAGTGATACAAATATATTGACAATATAAAATCACTGAGGATTAAGAATTATCATTTTTTCATAATATCCATCGAATTCAATACGCGATGAAGAAATGTTTTTTATCATGAGACGATTGTCTATGAGTATCTGACATAAGAAAGTTTTCATTCTGAAATATGGAACGATGAAAATATTGTTCTTGGTTTTTACATGAAATGAAGAGAAATCTAGTTCAGATAAACCCAGGGACAGTCATGACTGAGTGACTACGTTACTCGGTAGGTATCTAGAAGGTATTATACTCAAACTTCGGTATCACGAACCGTGGCATGACCCTGGATAAGTCACTAACCTAGGTAGCACTCCATAGTGCAAGGTAACCGAAAGGTGGGCGACATTTTGTTTTCCTTCTCTACTTCAGTCTCAAATGAACAATGCATGATTGGTTTCAAAAGTTGAGAGTTGAGTCTTTTTAGTTCAGGTTGAATATGAACCTTCTATTGCTATTTACAAGATTCATCCTTTTGACAGAGTTTTCCAATCAACATTTCTATGATAAGAATCTTTCAATATTTTAAGAGCAAAAAACCTCTACAGCAATCTGAGCAGTTGACAAAAATCTCAATTGGTTTTATTTTACAAGTCTTCAACTTTGATATTAATAGTACTTTCAACAACTGCCTACCATTGACTAATAACTTGTCTCTTCATCTCTTGACGAACACTGAACTATTCAGGAAAAAGCGCTTTATCTTGAGGTAATATAAAACTAAAATTATTTCTACTTATGCAATCATAGATCTTCCTCTATTTTATTTGATAAATTTATATATCCTTTGCTTAGCTAATTATCGATCAAAGCAATAGCTTTAGTTTAGCCATTGAATTATTCCAATCAAAAAAACAAAAGATTGCTAAAGAAATAATTTATATATACTTATGTTATATTGTTTATCGTTAATAACAAAGCTTAAAAGTGACAAATAAATCTTTTCTATATAAAAGATAGTCCATGCAGAATTCCACTAATAGTATTCTCAACAATTCTCCTATATTTTTCAGATGATTGATAAATATTTGTTTGTAAAGACACGTCATAGATAGCTTCGTAATTCTCTTATGTATAAAACAGTCTAGATCTTCATACAGTATGAGCTATAGATACCTTGTTTCAATAAGTTTTTTTTTGTTAGCACGTATTATTTCCTCAGAATTAAGTGCTATGAGACATGTGCCGGACTAACTAGTTTTAGTTCCTATCATCAGAACCACAACTAAAAGTTCTAGTTAAAATTTCGAGAATTCGTTTTTAACAGATTGTGCTATAAACTATATTAATCAAAATAATATTCAGGAGAGATGATCAAATAAAATGACATTTGTCGCCTAAATCAATTAAAACACAAGTATTTAAAATTTTTTTAGATTTAATGTGAATAAATTCTGAAATAATTTTATCTAACCTAGGATCAAGACTTGAATTGAGCTTCAAAAAGTAAGATCGTCGGAACTGCGATCATATCAGACCCAATATCAATATGACAAGAATCACTGACAAAGAGGTTACTGAGATCAGAGCGAGATTGGGACTAAGATGACCTGGCGAGCATGACACATTAATAGATCTAGAGTTGCTGATCCTTTTTTTATTTACAAATCCATTGTTCATAATGAAACCATACCACTGAACTCACCATAATTTTTCACTGACGTATTACCATTTTCATATTATTTTATTGGGTTATTGACAGCTCTTTATTGCCTTTTTTTTCTAATATGTCTGAGACAATTTTCGGATTAAATCAAATATAAATTTGCAGCCAATTTCAAAGGTAATCTATAAAGAAAAGTATTTAAATAAGATCAATGATTCATAAGAGATTTCGAAATACGAACAATGCGTTTGTTTATGAGACACCTGCTATAGGCTACAAGAAATTTAATAGATAATGAACGAAAGTAATATTAATCTTTTGTATGTATATGCAATATGAAGAACAACTTATATTCTTTTACTTTGTCTACTCGTACTTGACATAAGTACACTTTTGATATTTCGATGAGTCGACCAGGTTTCTACAACTTTTCTGGAAGTTTTTTCTTGATTTTTCTTGTTTAGTTAGAAGCATTATTGTTGAGAACGATCTGAGATAATAATTAAAATCTCTTTAGACTTGAAAAGTATTGAGATTCAGATCATTTTGTAAGAACAACTCTGCATATATATATACATACGAAACAATTTTCATATATACTTTCTGCAACGATCATGAGGGCAATTGTAGCTATTGTTTCGACTCATGCACGTTGGAATATATTCTTAACAAATCGATTTCAGCATTTTTGAAGAGCCCTAAAGTATTGAGTACCATGTCCTAGATGAAAACTCTATTGAAAATACAAAACGGGAAAACTCGATTGATGTAAGTTATAACAACTCAGGAAAATTTTACAATATTATTACTTTGTTTGTTTTTGTTATAAGAAAATTTTCTTTATAAAACTAATCTGCAGCGATTAGAAAACCGAAACAATAAATTATATCTTTGTAGAATATTTAGCTTACTGGTTTTATTTGATTGCACTTGTTATTCTTTTCTGTGTGCATAAATATTTAAGAAAAGCTAGTTCGAAAGCCGAATTTTTCGCATTCTTATGAGCTGCAAGTTCTACGGCAACAGAGTACATTGACAAGAAAAACTTCGAAATCGTATATGGCGCGAGTACCAGAACATGCTCTTATCCCAAACATGAATTAGGCTGTAATTAAAAAAAGCACCAAAATAGTTCTGCATAGCTGTTGCTTTCATTGGCTGAAGTCTTTTATTCAAAACCTAGAACTTAGTGCGTTGGATTTTCTTCTCTTCAAGATAAAAATCTTCAATAACAGGTAGAGATTTGCTATCAGCTTTAGCTGTTTCCAACTGTTGTTTGCTAGAAAATTCATAAATGTCATAGAGAGTTATTGGAATCATTTATAGCAATAGTCGTATCATTCGATATTGATAGGTTACTTGTGAAATACTAAGGTATAACGAGAGTATCTTTGTAGCTGCCGCAGCGTAAGTGATTGAATAGCTTGATATTGAGTTGATTCGAATCTACTATGAAAAAAATGTACACAATAATTTCGTTCGTGAAACTAAGTCAAAATGAAATATTTAGCTACTAACTCTCATACTACTTACTATTTAGGAATTTTGTTTCGACTTCATTGCCTATCGATGTCATGGCTAAGAGACGAACTTGCTTGAAAGTATTAACTTCGTTGCATAATTTTTTTCAAACTCATCAGAAGATCATTAGGTTTCTCAAAGAGAGAAGCTCAGGTGGATTTTATGTGTTTCATGTGACAAATGTTTTTTCAAATATGACATTTATATCATGAAGATTAGTATATAGATTTGATTAATTTGAGAAAGAATCGAGAAAGTATTGAATCTTAATAAGAAGCCGTTTTATCAACTTATATAATGTCCGATAGTTACTACTCATGAATTGTTTCCATTTTTAGTAACTCAAAAGCAACAAATAACTGTTCCATCAATTTTTCTTCGCGATAATCGAGTTCAAGAAGAAAATCATCCTCGCTTTGTTTTTCCTAATCGTTTTGCTGATCACTTTCATTATCTACTTATTCATTATCCATCCTTCCATTTCCATTTGATTTGTCACTACTGATATTCCTTCTATCCAGATCATCCATTTCATGTTGTTTTTTCATCATCTCTTTTTACCACACTTTGACATGTTGAACACAACCAACGAACCAATGCTCAATTGTTCAAAACTAACGTAACTGTGCATAGAATTGAGAGGACAAGAGGAGATCCAACCGGAGCCTATTGCTACATAAGAGGAACATGTATGTATAGACATTGGATGTTGACATAACTTTGCTTTAGATAGTTTTCTAGTATTTTCTCGATAATGAACAAAAAAATGAGTATAGTATTATAAACTAACTGACATACATCATGAACCATATAAAATATTGCATTGCTTCCAAAAAAAAAGAGAGGACACTACCGAGTGGAAGAGGTAAAATTAATGTCATGAAATGTCGAAATGAACCTATAGAAGGAAAATGCGATAATAATAATACATTCACTAATGGAGTTTTATTTCGAACATTGATTTGACACTTCCCTAGTTGCTCTACAGGACATAGAATTCGTGTAAATCTGATTTTCTCATCGTTGCAGATTAGTTTTATGAAGAAGATGTTCTTGCAATAAAAACAAACGAAGTAAATTTGTACGTACTGAATTTGTTATGACTATTCAAAAGTCGTTCAAATCAACGATTGCCTTTTTGATCGCTGTAGAAATTGTATATAAAAATTATTTCCTTTGTATATACATATGTTGGGCTGTTCGTAAGAATGATCTGAATCTTCATACTTTTTAGACCTAAAAATGCTTTAATTGCTACATGCGAGCATTCTCAACGATGATACATCTAACCAGTCTAATAAAATCGAACAAAAGTTTTTTGTAGAACGAATTTGGCACATGGAATGTAAATATTTACCTCTTCTAATATTTAATTTATCGGTATTCATATAGACGCTCTGATATCGTGAACGTTTTTTTTTTCACTGAGAATTTCACAAGTCATAATATTTCATGAATACAGAAAATACAAAATATGGACACGAGAAGAGTTTAGAAGCATGTATTATCATTTGTGAAATACTCTGTTCTGCAATGAAAAGAAACTATTGGTTATAGCATTTCATAATGCACGGAAAATGGGAGTTGATGAAATAAAATATGAACTAAACTCTGCTTCTTTCTTCACAAATCAAAAGGTAACTGCACCAGCCTTTATATCTAAATGTTTTTCATCCATTAACAATCAAAACAGGTTCTCACACAAAAAAAGCGAACTATAAATAGCTCTTGTGTAGGAATACATCTTATTACAAGACTTTTTATTTAACTTTAATTTTATTTTATCTCTTTTATCACATGAAATTCAAGATATTAATTATTATGCGATCAATTTTAGCATGTATATTTCTAATTATCACCATCTTGTGCAAGAAGACTATCGATTAATTGTTCTACTGGTTTGCCTGCTTCTTTAGCCCGTTGAACAACATAAAGAAGAAAACGACCACGTTGTTCAGCTTGAAGAACTTTATCGAATTCATCAAGAAATCGCTCACGACCTTCTCCAGCTTGACGAAGATCTTCACGTCATTTTCCTAATAATTGTTCAGTTGTTGCATTATCATTAGCTTCAACAGCTTTGTTTAATTCTTCAACTAATTGTTTTCCAGCTTCACGACGAGCACGAACTTTTTCGGCAGCATCATTAAATAATGCTTTTGAGCTAATGTAAAAAAATTTTCTGAACAAAATATTTTTATTCTACAAAGTCTAAATTACTTTTTCTTCTTGCTCGCCTGTTAAAGACAACTTAGCTGCGGTATTCCAGCTAGCGACTAAAGCATCTATTTTATTACCAGCCATTTGTTCCTAAAAAGTAAAACAAAGTTCAACAACAAAGATAAAAATATCTTCCACATACTTGTTGTGATAAATATCAAGGTGTGGGTGATAGAGATGCGTATGCAACGAATATGATGGCAGCTTGCAGTTTGTATAGGCTCACAGAGACTCAGAAGTGGGGATACTTTTATCTATACAGGTACAAAGTTCGACACCAAGGTTTCGATAATATTCTCTCCTATCACCGATTTATCTTTTTTATTTATCTGCGGAATGATGTAAATCACACGAAAAATATTTTATTCTAACTAAAGATGAAAGTTTTTGATAAAAATCAAATACATTTTATTTTTCTTTGTCTCTAAAAAAATAAATTTATTAACAAAAAATATGTTTTGATTTTAACTTAGAACTATGTTCGATAAAAAATGGATAAAATAATACATATTTTTTTATCATTCAATTCAAAATAAATTCATGTTCGTTAGACGTTAAATAATTTTGAAGTCGACTTGGATAATCAGTCATGATACCGGTAGCAGACATATTTTGGATAGCATATTCAAATTCTTGTTCATTGTTTAATGTCCAAACGTACACCTACAAGTTAAAGAAAATTCATAATAGGTTTTAAACGCACACAGAAACTCACAGGAATACCACGTCGTTGTAAATGTACAAACATAGATTTGTTATTTAATGCTCTAAATATATTAAATAGAACCGAAATTATTTGAATATAACAACTACCGTTCCCCAAGATAAAATAGCATTTTAAATTTCCAATTTAAATTTTTTGTTATTTTCCTAAATATAAGAAAAAAATATATATACTTGAGTCAATGTTGGATCATACTGAAAAACTTCACCAGGAATAGGTACTTCAAAGGCACCTGTATAAAACAAAAGTAAAAGAGCAAAATTATTTTAAAAGGTCTTATTTAATATACCTGGTGTTAATGGTATAAAGGGTAATAAACCAAGCCAATAGGCAATGACAATACCTGCTGCTTCTTTTAATGAACAAAAACGAACAATACTTGTATTCTAAGAGAGATATAAATAGTCAATATTGAAATATAGAAAGATTGAAACCGTACTTCAACAGTTAATTTTTGGCATACAACATGATTAAAACTACCCCAATAAGTTACATCTTCTCGTTGATATTCTTGAATAAGTTTCGAAATCTAAAAAGATTGTTTTTTACTAGCATAATATAATGTTTTGATGAATTTTTTTCTCATTACTAAATAAAACTTTTCAAACATTTTCTATAATCAATAATCAAGAAAAGTGGTGAGTTCTCAATACATGCAAAGTTGCTTATAGTTTATCGATACGAGTGAAGAAAACTTTTTTGTACATTTAATTTTCGATAGATTCGAAAATAACTAAGCTATACACCGAAGTTGAGCTTTGGTTCAGCATTTAGGAGCTGTTCAACTGATTTCTGATGTGTTGAGCATTTACGCAACTGTCGAAGTGTTTCTGGAGTTATATAGATGTCGATAGGATCAGTTTAAGATTCGATCAAGTTCAAATTCGAATTCGAATTCGAGCTTTTTTCAACATTGTTGACTTTCTTTTAGAATACTTGCATCCCTTCAGTTTTAGATCGTTTATTTTATTGCGTACAGATCTACCATAGTCAATATTGAAAATCATTTCTTTTAGCTTCTACTCTATTCTACTAATTACTTAAAATGATTGAACTCAGAGTCAAATCCGAATAATTCGAGTTCGATGCATACCTAAAGATGACTGATAAAGAAATTTGCAGAATTTCGCAAAATGACAGTCGACTTCATAAGAAACATCTATATTTTATACATTGAATCGTTCGTATGTTTTTATGCTACTCTTAACATTTTTTGGTTCTCTTTGGAGAGAACTTTGATGAAGTGCAAGGTTTTATTTGTTTTTGAGAACTTTTAATGAGTTTGACAGCCACGAGAGCTATTTCCATGGCTTCACAAACTAAATATGTCGGTGAATATATTCATATGGCTATTTTACAATTAGTGATGGTTTTGACCTAGGATAGACTTTCGGCGTCATTATTAAATTAGGAAATATTCATTCTAACGTGTTCTATTTAGTGCATTGAACAATCAAGAGAATCAACTGATATCTATACAAAAGAAATTATTCGCAAGCATGAATACAGGTATTCTCTCGCAGTATAGCACTAAATGACTATGAATTAGATCCCCAAGAGAATACTTGCCTCTCACTCCGTTCAATTTATTAAATATTGAGTAGAACAGACTTTATTCTTTGTTAGAGAAAAATTTTGCATTTCTTTGGCAATAAAATGCTAGTTACCTGTCGAATAAGTTCATCGTTATTTTCTTTAACATCGATATTAATTGGTATTTTTGGATAACGTTCAAAAACATCTTTTAATAATGGTATACGCAATAATTCTTCGTTTGTTGGATTATTATCACATGATATGACAGTACCTATCAGCAAAATCATTACTCTTTTCAAAAAAATGTATCTTGTTTCTTTACTTGAATCATAATAAAGTTGTACATGAGTATTAATTTTAGGCAAACTCTAGAATACAATATTCTCCCTCATTTGTGACTATTGATGTTAACTTACATCATAGTTAATATCTCTGATAAATACATCTTCACCAGTAGTTCTATCTACTGAAAAATCATGGTGAACAACAACTTGATTGTCTTTGGTTAAATGACAATCTAATTCAAGCATTTCTACTCCATTTGTTAATCCTCTATAATAAAACAGTTGATATGAGAAAAGTTCTTATTAATCATACTTGTCAAATGCGAGTACAGTATTTTCAATAGATTCTGCAGCACCTTATAGAAAAAAACAAGTACATCAAGCATGAAAAATTGTCTTTATTTTACCTCCTCGATGAGCTATATTTCGAGCAATAAATGCAGGTCGACGTCGTTTATGAAGAAAATGCGGTTTACGAAGGAAGATAAAAGATAATGTCATATAGATGGCAAAAAACGTCAAAACAACGATATAAACAAACATCAGCAAGAATGATTAACATGAAAATGCTGTGATAATCATACGGTTTGACTCAGATGAGTCATTAATCAGTATAATTGGCGTATCTATATCGGCGACATCTATAAACGATATCTTTATGAAATTTTAAAAATTTAATTATTTTTATCTAAATAAGACTTTCTTCATGTTTATTAATTAATTAAAATTGAAATCCAATAAAAATCTCGTTCATTATTGTCATGGTGTCAATTGAATTTCAACTATATGAAAACACTTAATTATTCAAGTAAGCAGAAAAAAAAGTTGCAGAATGTCAACAGATATAATGAATATTCCAACTGGTACTGCGAGTAGTGATGATCTTAGTGATCAACGTGGCAATAATGATAATGAATTACGTGATTTAGTTTATCAAACTCTTGAACGTGATGGTTTAATATCTCGTTTAAAAGCTCAATTACGTGCTGCTGTATTTAAAACACTTGAAAAAGCAACAAATCCTATCGGTACTAATTCACATTCATCTTTAGACGATGGAATGACTGGACGTATTTGTCATGCACTTGTACTTGATTGGCTTGAACATTCACATTTATTATATACAGAAGATGTGTTTAAAGTTGAAACATCTGGTCCGAATCATTCCATACCATTAACACATACTGAGTTGCTTGAACAACTTCATATTAACTTAAATCAAACTAAAACGGAACCCATTTTACATATTTTACTTGATCAAAGTACAAATCGAGTAAGAAAAGAATGAATGTTTTTAAAGTTTTTTTAAAAAGATATTTTCAGCCTGCCAGTATTATTAATTCTCTTCCTGATTATATTAAACAATCAATTGATAATCAATTTCCAAATGAAAAAATCAATGATATGAATCGTATACGTGATCATTTTCGTTCACTCTTTTCGTCAGCATTCGATTCAAGTGTACTAGATGCATTTATTAATAAAAATATTCCTTCATTATCAAAATCTATTCCGAAACACGATTATGAACAAATTTGTCTTAAATGGATGCAAGGATGTGCTAATGCATTAAAACCACCTTCAACTCCTATACAACAAATTTCATCTATGTGAGTTATCTTTTCATACAGAATATATTCGAAGAATTTTAATTCAACTTTTAGAACTTCTGGTTATCTAATAACATTTTTTTTTCTTTGAAAGAAGAGAACAGATGACATATATTTACTTTGCTTTAAATTTTTCATCTCTTTAAAGGATACTCTGCAAATAATTAAATTGCATAAAGCTGGCAAGATATAAATAAGAGTTCAAACAGCATACAATGAAAGATCACGTATGCATGCGTTATCCAGTGTTCCGCTTGAGATTGTTTCTTCTGTATGATTCAGACATTTTTTCCCATGAAAAACAAATAGTTATGACAAATAATCGTTTTTACTATGGACACATATCGATTTTTTTTTCGAATATTGCACATGATTCACAGATAAAATTCTTACAGAAGTATTTTATTTAATGATTTCATATCATAGCAAATGATTATTTTTATATATTCTTTCAATCTTTGTCTCGCTTCCGATAACTGTTCAAGACAATAGAGATTAAACAGCTTCCTATCGAATGACATTTTAGTTTCTTTATGAGTCTTCTTACTGGATTGCCGCTAGTGTTTACACAAGAAATAGAAAAAAAACGTACAATTTCAAGTATAGCTTTAAGTTGCACTTTTCGTTCTGATCATAATCAAGATAGTTCAATTGACCATGATCATTTTTTTTTTCGTAGAGTCTCAACACCGTTATTAACCCCGAGGAATGCGGCTAACAATGATCAACTGTCAAATCCAGCTCGTCGTGCAGCATCTCCACCAACAGACTCTTCATCTTCCTCTATCTCCTCATCATCAGAAAATCCACGAAAAGCTGCTTTTGACTTTCCATTACCAACGACCATGAGTCCTCAGCAAAATGTCATTAAAAAAACAAGTGATATTGTTCCACCATCATTAATTAATTTTGATGATAGTAGTAATAGTAGTGATGAACAAGAAGAAGACGGATCAGCTTCAATATTTTCTAATCGTAATGCAACAACAACTGCATTGGAACATTTAAAAACTATTGATACTATTCTGCAAGGTAATGAAACACCACGTACAAGAACGATTCCTAAAAAACCATCAAACAATGGAACTAAAGATTTTCCAGCCGAATATGAAGATGAAAGCATAAGCCATAGCGTTAGTCATAGTATAATTAGTAGTGTGGATGACATTACCGTTGATAAAGCATCACCTTCTCCGTCGACTAATATTGATTATTTGGAAGATTACTAAAGAAATTAAAAACTGTGATTTTATTTTGTGGAATGTTTTTTCTCGTGTAGAATCTATCGAATTTATAATAGCCATTTTTCTTTTGTAGACAAGTTCTTTTTTTTGTATATGACAAAATTATGCAGGCTGGTTTTTTTTTGATCTGCTGTCTTTGACTTAATAACAGATCTGTTAAGAAAAAAGAATCTCGGCGTTGGTTATAACCGGTAGAGTAACATCTACCATTGAAGAATTGTATTTTTTCAATTATGCTTTAAAATTATCGTAGTTTTTTTGAAGGGTTCAGTTGAGGCGAATCGGTTTCAACATCTTCTAGACAGAATATCAAATTCAAGCTATATGCAAGTATAAAAACTAAACGTATGAAATTTTCAACTGAGTCAAATCAATCATTATTCATGCAACCGTCTTACTGAAATTTTCATCAAACAGTCGTCATATTGTGGTTAGACGACATACGACAAAATTGAAATTTTGTTTTTATCTTTAAAATTATGTATTTTATAACATGAAATTGATCTACATAATCTATTCAAGGGTTCAATTCATACTGTTTATTCTCTATGATGATTATCAAAAATAATAAATTTGTTGAATAATAAACAATTGATAAGCGAAATCATATTAAAATTTATTACAGTCTATCGATAAAATTTTAATTCACAAGCTTCGAAAGAATATCAAAATTTGTCGTCATATTTTAAATATATTAAAATGAAAACGTATTAATAATGTTGTTGAAATTCCAGTAAAAGCTCTAAAATTGTATTGCGAAGAACATTATTTGAATGGATTAATCAGATCAGTCCTAAATACTTACATTTCGTAAAAGTTTTCTAGCACATATTACAGAAAAACAATGAAAAGGGAAAAAGACAAATTCAAAAAATTTAGAGAAGCATAAAATTCGAAGGAACAGATAAATATATCAAAGTCAGTACTGGAAAGATAACAGTGTCTTTTGGTTGAATTGAATGATTAGATGAATCTTGATTAATGAATTGTAATAATTTATCAAAGAAGGTAGAAGAGTCTTGATAGAATTTGCTCAAGCGTGTACTAGGACGTCCCTTTGGAAGTAATTGCATACAATCCATGTCGCACGTTTGTTCACACTACTACTGGTATATCACGGCACTCATAAGAATCAGCAATAACACTTACGACTTTCGATTCTAACTATGAACGGTTACAGAGAGTGTTTTCTACCCAAACTCGAATTATATATTAGAAAGAATTCAAATTGAACGAGAAGAAAACAGTTTCAAAATGTATTTTATTGAGAAAAATTTATCTCATAAATGGAGCTGATTGTGGCTCTATGGCTAATACACGCAGCTCACATGCATCAACATTATTAGATAAATGCTGTCAATCGTAATAGACTTCAAAAATATTTACCCATTTTAGTACAATACACTGTAATACAACACTTTAAAAAAACAACTGTTAGTGCAGCGCACATCATACCGATCAGTTTACCGGCAGTAGTTTTTGGGTAGTTATCACATGGGAACCTTTTTTCCATGTAGTGTTGACAATGATTTTATTTATCATATAACAATCAATTAATTCTTATTTCTGTTGTTTAATATTTTTAAGTTGCTTTATTCGGTTATCCACATACTTCTCTTCGAAAGCAGGAAGTGAGATTTTTTTTGTCAAGACTCATAGTAAGACATTCAAACGAATGATATATTATTCTTAGACATCATCAATAAAATCTATTGATTCTAGTAAGATCTCTAAAATGAACACCATCGAAGGGTCTCGAAAAGTGTTCAATATTGGGAGGTATTCATCTATGGGGGTGATACCATATATTTTAATACAAAATGAAAAAGTTTCAGAAAACCAGCTTCTTTACTACTTTTGACGTAATCAAAGTCCATTCTCTATGTTGTTTAGCTTTCATGATTTGAATATGTTTGCTTTATTTCGTAAAGTAGTATACTTTAGTTTCGGTGTCTATATATATGAATTTGATGAACGTTGCTCTGCAATTGATCTAAATATCGATATTCATAAAGTTTTATTACGTCAAAAATTTTAAATATTCGTTTCATGTTTTGATTTAGGTTCATTTGATAAACACTTAAATATTTTGCATTCTTCGTTTTAAAAGATTGGATACAGAACCAAATTAAATATTCGAATTATCAGCTAATTCATCTCGTAGTGAATCATTACTATCGTTGTAATCATTAATTAATCGATTTTTTTATTTAATGTAAGATAAAATTGTGATGCCATTGCTTTACTTGATATATAGTTACAACAAACAATGAACAGTACGTTTTAGTGCAAGGACCAAAAAAAATGTGCATGTTTATTTATTCAAAAGAGGTTAATATAGCAATTGAGATTGTGAAAACAACGTTCAAGAGAAGAGTAGGAAGGTATTCGTTAATAGAGGTTTCAATGTATATTGGTTTTGATGAGAATACCCAAATGCGTTATTTTTTTTATTGCTTACAGCCATTAAAACATAAAAATTGTTAGACAAACAAGAACAACATCAAATATATATAGTTCACTAGTTCAACATCAAATCTTTGTTCTTTTTTCACTAAAAACCCAAAGTAACTTCAAGATTAAAGTTATTCTGAACTCAATGAAATTACTTTCTAAATGCATACAAAAAAAAAATAAAGATAATCACACAACAGATAGAAATATTCAACGTCGTTTATTTCCAGTACCACCAGGTAAACGATCCATCATTGCGCATAAATCATCATCATCATCATCATTTTTTCCTCGACGTGTTGAGCGTTCATCAAAATCAAAATCTTGTAGAACATGAGATAAACGAGGATTTTGAGTTCGCTAAAATAAATATACATTCATTACAATGTAGTCGCTGATTTAGTTTAACAGTTTAAAGTAAAAAATATTAGTCTGCAGCAGAGAACGTTCATAAAGGGTGAGCCAAAAGTCTTGGTCGTTCTTAGAAAAATTGTTCGTTCTCCCTTATTACAAAACCAAAAACGCTCAAAATTGGACATCTTATCCCTTGTAACTAGACGAATATTGCCCTAAATTTTCAGATCTCTAGTCCTTATTATAGGGGAAATATATAGGTTTGTATGATAGAGAAGATTTTTTTTCCATGTCCTAAAATCAGAATAGCGACGGGTTACATAAACAGAATAAAAGAAAAAGTAAAAAGAAAGACATCAGAATAAGGAAATATTAAGAGAATTATAACGAATCGAATTATACCTTAAGATTAATTAGATGTCNTTTTTTTCTCAATCAAACAGTTATCGAATCGAAATTTAAAAAATGTATATTGGTGAGCAGTTTGTCAAGCTCTATAAAACCATATAGAAATGAACGAGAAAAAAACAAACTAATCGGGTGTGGGTGGGTGTGAGGGTGTGGGTGTGGGTATGGGGTATGGGTGTGAGTAAACAATAGAGAGACCCACATCCATACCCCACACCCACACCCCACCCAGAACTTTTAGTTGCGTGATTGAACTTATTCAAATTTAATTTATTAAAATAAACGATAATGAAATTTATCTCGTAGAAAGTTCTACTATAATATAAATATTGTTTTTTTTTATTGTTTACTATTAAAGTATATTTTATTTGTTAGTGTTTTATTATGCAATAAAATACTGTTTCTATGAAAATCGATTATTGTTCTTATATTGTTAGTCTTGTGAGTAGTTAGAAGACGTCATTATATTAAATAAAAAATTCAGAATAAACATAAAATTTGATTTCAAATGTTGTTATTGACATAGATATGTTTCTGCTTTTGTAAAAAGACATTTATCTTGTAATTGCCTAATGTTTGTTAAGATAATGTTTAAAAAGATATATTTTATTTAAAGAAATCATAAAAATTCTTAAAATGAATATTATTCATGACATTTTATTATTTTCTTTGTCTATTAATAAATAGAAAATGTATGTTCAGGAAAACTTCACTATTGACTTAACTTCGAAATATAATTTTAATTATAATAAAGATTCTATAAATATCGTTAATATATGTGTTGTTGTAGTTTTATTGTCATCCGATCAAATTCAAAAAAATTTAAACGTTTGAATTATTCAAATGAATACTAAGAATATTTCTGTTCGAATTATTTTTTTCATTTTGATTGTATGAGAATGATATCATTTTATAGAACAAGTATCAATTTAAAAAATATTATTTTTGATAATGATTATGAAAATTTTAGTCAAATTGATTTTGATCAGTATATAGTCAGATAAACTATCGTTTTATCTAATATACTAATAAAAAAAAATCAATTCTATAATTCAATAAATGTTTATTTAATCGGTTTAGTCTTTGTTCAAATCTTATAGTTTGCAGAAAGAGAAATCACTTAATAATATGAAGTTTATGGCTTCGAATATACAAAGGAAATATTTTAATTAACTCCGTTAAGTATCAATATATTAAATACTTAATATATTCGTTACTTTTTTTATTTGAAAAACTTTTTGAAATTTCAAAGAAACCCATACACGATAATATGATCTATGTAAATGCATGAGAAAAACATTGACGTCATATTGTGTGGTACGTAAGTATGACCAAAGATAATATTCACCGAATCCAACCATAGAGTGCGTCTCAAAAAGATGTTTACATTTTGAAAAACTAAAAATTTTACAGTTGATCATCATGAATTTTGTTGACACATTCTTGCTCATACTTCTGATTATGTTATATGATAAAGTCACTAAAACTCTATTATTCAACATATCCAGCGGTTCAGATGAAAATCTCTTGATCTATTCAAGAATTCTTATGTATTATTTATAGTTTTTCAAAATGTTTATAGATTTTTGTGACACATTGTGTAAACATGTACTCAAAATATTATTGTTTTGAAATTAACAATAAATACCATTTAAGTTTTATATAAAATATATTTTTAAATGCCTGATGATTGAAGAGAAATAAATTTTTATAAAATGATTTGTATAGGAACAATAAGGCAAATTAGGACTAATTAAGTTTATATTACT